TGTCATATTTATTTCAGACATAGGAAATATTTTTTTAGCATAAATTATACAGTACAATTTTCAACATGTGAGTTTTTAGTAAAGCAATACTGTTTAATACAACTCTGTCATTTAATTTCAACAATGTTTCTTCTTTCTGTGTTGGTGCTATTATAGATACTGAAATATATCTACTGAAAATATTGATATGCTGTAAATAAAAAAAGTATCGATACAACATTCTTTGTGTTTTTTCAACTTCCCTGTGCCGTCAATGACCATAGTTTGTTTGTTCGAGTCTGGACCCCTGCCATGATATTGCTTGACTGTTGATAAAAGCAGCATAAAGCCCCCTGTGTAACACATTCAGTGACTTTCATGGTTTATCAGCAGTTTCTTATCTGTACAGTTTACATGGAGGTCAGGGAATAGGAAGGGAAACTACCCACAACTTCCTTCCTCATGGGGACCAAGTCAAAAACCCTGAGCCAGTTTCAATCAAAGTGTGTGGATATTATTGACTGTAACTGTGAATTTTTTTTAGAAGTGTTGTATTTTCTGTTTCCTTTCTAAGTTTTCCTTGAACATCTGTTTATCTAGGGTGTGAGAAGAGTCACATAGTATCAACGATTTATGATGTGTAAGAGTTCATATCTACTTTAGGTATAGACTGACTGAGTTTGGTTTTACGCCGCTTTTAGCAATATTCCAGCAACATCACGGCGGGGGACACCAGAAAGGTGGCTTCACACTTTAGGTATACATAGGTACTTTAGGTATAGATAGAGATTCAGCCTGAACCTGAGGAAATCTAGACTTGCTTTATTTAGGGTTTTAGCACTGCAGAGAGGGCTTGGCAGTAGGGAAATTAATGTGGTTCAGGGACTGTGAGACAGACTAGCATGGACCCATGCTTGTCTGGATCGGGTGGTCAGGCTCGCTGACTTGGCTGATGTGTGTTATCATTTCCAAATTGCATAGATCATCAATGCTTATAATGTCAGTCACTGGATTGTCTGGTCCAGACTCTATTATTTCAAGACCGCCCTCATCCAGCTGCAATATTGCTCAGGCCTTTTTTTCAATTACTTTGTTACAGATTTTTCAAAAAAGTTATTAGCTCAGTAGGGAGGGGAAAAAAATGGAAAAACAAGGGAATTTGGAGATGTTATTTGCACACTTGAGTACATCATATATGCCAGGTGCAGCATGCCAGCTGAGCAGTCTGTGGCATTACCTGTTCTCTGTTCCACTCTGTTTCAGGGGATATTTGAAAGGTGTAATTTGCTATTTTTTCTTCTTTATTTTTTTACTTTCTTTGTTTTTAATCAGATTGGCGGCATTTAGTGGCCAAAAAGAAATGCAAAACCCTTTTTTTTTTCACATTTCGGTTCGGTGGATCCGTAAACCAAGTAATAAAAAAAGGCCTTAGTGCAGCCACAAACAGACAGATGGGAAAACTGTAGTTTGTTTGTTGGTTTGTTGTTTAATGCCACACTCCGCTACGCAATATTCCAGTTGCCGCTTACAACAAGCATGGACAGGTTGCTGAAGACCAATTCTAACCAGGATCTTCAGGGGTTGGTCATATTCAAGTTGCCGCTTACAACAAGCATGGACAGGTTGCTGAAGACCAATTCTAACCAGGATCTTCAGGGGTTGGTCATATTCCAGTTGCCACTCACAACAAGCATGGACAGGTTGCTGAAGACCAATTCTAACCAGGATCTTCATAGGTTGGTCATAGCTGTGACTAAGTGTCAACATGCTAAGGACACAAAGTTCAACATGTGCCCAACCCAAAACCCTTGCTTGTTCTATTCAAGAAATGTTCATATTTAGTTGAGATCCTCTGAAAGTTAAGCTAAAACTTCAAATATGGAAGTTGAAAATATGTCAAGAATTGATTTACATTAAATGAAATGAAAATTGAAACCTCTAGTTTTATGCGGAAACTTACAGTCAAAGTTGGTAAATATTTCCTGCATGACATTTTTTTCATTGATAACTGGGATTATGTAACCTGGTTTTCCTCACCATACCCTGAATGATCGATATGGCAAGTGATGATATACTGAACAAAAATAGAAACCTCACATCTAGAGAAATGAATTATACTGAATATGTTTTGTACAAGGATGTAAACATGGACGAATACCATAATGTCCAGGTTGGTTGGTTGGCTGGTTGGGTGAGTGAGTGAGTGGTGCAAGCGCTGCACGGTGACCAGCAACCAGTTCTATAGCGGCCCCTCACAACGTTTCTTGGGGCCTTGCCCTAACCGAAACAAATACCGAAGTTCCAGGGAAATATTTTAATACGTTAGATGTTGTGACACTTCCCTGTAAGCCGTCCATCCCTCTTCCCCCAGGGACACGCCGATGTCGCAGGTGTTCCTTAACTGATTGATTTCATGATTGTTGTTTTCATTTCCTGTTTCAACTCGAACGTTATGTACATAAAAACTGTTGTTTTTTTTCGTTATAACGACGACATATAATGTTCTATTTACAGAAACGTTGAACAATAATGCACAGGGGCGGAAACAGCTTTCTGAGAAGGGGTGTGTGGGGTGGGGGGGTTTGCACAGTTCAGAAAGGAGGGTGCACAGTCCCGTTTTCACGAGAGTTCCAATGGTCATGTAATAAACTTTAATTATGACTAATCAGTTTGATACATATAACCCGTGATACATGTCCATAAAGTGAGTTAAATCATGCCCGCGAAGATCCGGGGTAGTATTGGTCAACAGCAACCCATGCTTGTCGTAAGAGGAGGGGATCGGGTGGTCAGGCTTGATGACCTGGGCTCCGTTTCACAAAGCTCTCGTAAGCCCAAGATCTCGCAACTTTTCTCGTACCATTGTACCTCCTATGTTACAGTATGGGGGGTACAAATGCTACGAGAAAGGTTACGAGATCTTAGGCTTACGAGAGCTTTGTGAAACGGGGCCCTGGTTGTCACATATATCGAATGCATATATGCTGCGTACATGTTGTAAGAGGCGACTGCCCTGACTGGGAGGGGCAGTCAGGGTCTTTGAATTAGTTGATGTATGTCATCGTTTCAAATGCTTAGATCGATGCTCATGTCAATCACTGGATTGTCTGGTTCACACTCGATTATCTACAGACCGCCACCACATAGCCGGACTATGGCTGAGTGTGGTGTTAAGCAAGAAACAAATCCAACCCTATTGCTATCATGTTGTCAATCACTGGATTGTCTAATCCACACTCGATTATCTACAGACCGCCACCACATAGCCGGACTATTGCTGAGTGTGGCGTTAAGCAAGAAACAAATCAAACCCCATTGTTATGATATGCTCATGTTGTCAATTACTGGATTGTCTAATCCACACTCGATTATCTACAGACCGCCACCACATAGCCGGACTATTGCTGAGTGTGGCGTTAAGCAAGAAACAAATCAAACCCCATTGTTATGATATGCTCATGTTGTCAATTACTGGATTGTCTAATCCACACTCGATTATCTACAGACCGCCACCACATAGCCGGACTATTGCTGAGTGTGGCGTTAAGCAAGAAACAAATCAAACCCTATTGGTATGATATACTTATTCTTATACAATGTACAAATTAGAATTAAGAGCAGAACATTTTTATAAATCATTGTGTACCATTCATGTGATGTGTGATCACGCATTTGACTGTATTATGGGCCAGTGGCCTTTTACTGAATAAAACTGTCTGTCTGTCTGTCTGATATACTCATGATGTTAATCACTGGATTTTCTAGTCCAGACTCAATTATTTACAGAGCGGCGTCATCTACAGCTGGAATATTGTGTGCAGGCTGTGCTGGGTGTGCGGAGTTACACAACAGAGATACTTCGTTTCTTCTTGTAATACTTTAGTCTGTCTCACAGTCCCTGAACCATGTTATTTAGCGCAAGACGACGGCAGGTCTAGTTTTTCCAATCGTTCAGTTTGAGTATTCCATCTCACCCGATCTCTTTTTCAACTTTTGATGTATACTTGCTTGTTTCTTCCTCTTCTCTACCCCAACCCACCTTACACAAATGAAGACGGAGCAAGTAAATTGGGGATAGGATGGTTAGTCTGGTTTGATCTGGGTGATTGTTTGTAAACTTGACGGATTTGTTTTTACATATATGCTGTAACCAGTGGTTTTCCAAGCCCAGATTCGAGCATATACTGGTAGCAATGATATACTAGTACCTGGCGTTTGAATATTACTTTCTCAAAACGCTGTATCCGCCCCCTAAGACCCGTGAAGAACCGGGTAAGACTTGGTTGACACATGTCATCGTATCCCAATTGTGTAGATCGATGCCCATGCTGTTGATCACTGGATTGTCTGGTCCAGATTCGATTAATTATTTACAGACCGACACCACATAGCTGGAATATTGCTGAGTGCGGCGTAAAACTAAACTCGCTCACTCACCATACACCTAACAAATTAAACTATCATTGTGTCACGAATGGACAACTGCCCGTGTTAAATAAACAGTCAGTCTAGATGTTAAACATTTGCAGGGTACGAAATACGATACTTTTAAAAACACGAAGAACACTGGAAAATAACCAACGTTGTTCCACTGATTGTTTTAATTTACAGGAACAAAAGCAACGTACGTAGGACACTAAGTGTGATGAACTAATCGTCGACATAAAGACATGTGTGCATGTGAAATAATATCATCACGATCTGACCCGACTGACACGAGCAGTCTCTTCTACTACTGCATGCCTCAACATTTGATGTGAGTTATAACTCAGCTGGTAAATGGACTATGAATGAGCTATAAGAAGGACCACGTGACGGAATGGCGCGAAACGGCGTATGAATTCACAATAACATAAACAAACAATCGTTCGTAGTTGACTGGTTTCCCAGGTAATATGTGTATTTTGATATCAAGCACATATATAAGTAACTGTAAATGTGTATAAAACTTTGTTTACACGTTGAACTATGTATTTTAGAGGACTATGTTGTGACCTCACGGCCTTGACACCTCACCTTCGATTCCCGCGCTTTACGATCACTTTGTCCACAACAACACGAGTGTTCATCTGTACTTGTGACAAGTGCTCTCATCTCAGTTAAATCATGGCAGTAAGTACATTTATAGTTGACACTTCGATTCGTGGCTGTTGGTGTTTAACAAGTAGTTTGATTAATGAGATTTCACTGTCCTCTCAAACTTTAGCACGGTCATCCGATGTCAAGAAATCACAAATTATTTCATCCTGAAACTTTCAGCGCAGGCCAGATCGAGTAATTTACATTTTCGTCTTTGCAGTGTTTTAACTTCTGGTAATTGTTTTTCTTGCAATCTGCCTAAATGATGACACGAGTAAGAACAAATATGTGGTTTTATAGGTCGAGATTACAAATCGATCAAACTTTAACTATGAACACACATATGTAACCCTCGAGGTTTTTTTCAGTGGCCCAGGGGACTCAAGTTTCCCCTCACCAGTAGTGATGGGAAGTGTTATTGTAAAATCTATACAAGTTCTGTTATTTGAGGATATACTAGCTTGTACACAGATCTGTTATTAAAATTGCTTAAACGGGTTTAATAAATTAGTTATAGGAAAACAAGCTATAATGTAGCTGTTTTTTGTATGTAACTAGATAAATGTCTTCACTAGGAGGAGCATGTACATAGGGTGTTACAGCCTGTTTGCTGATCCTTTTAATGTTTAACGTATATTAAATGTCTTTGGGGAAATAAGAATACTGTTTAAATCAGATCAATGTCTTATTTGCATCACAGCACAGAATTATTTCACCTTTATGAAAAAATGTGTTGACACTTATTGACTTGCCCATACCACAAAAGCGTATGAACAAAGATCATTGTTTAATCACAATCTCTCACTGTAGGTAATGTTGTGATTGCATTAACCGGCTGTTACTAGTGGTTTAAAAGCTGCTAGTGCTTACAATTACAGTTAATACAGGCACGTCAGAAATTAAACAACAATATATTTACGTGGAAAAGTTTTTGACCTGCTTTATAAAATAATAGAGCCAAGAACTCTTTAAAAAATGCTTCTGTTAAGACACTCTCTCCCAAGTCATGTCAGTATTTTCCTGTCTTTTTTTTCAAATATTGTGAATATTGTTTGAGATTTGAAGACATACCATTTGATAGGTGTGGCCAATAAGGCCAGGGTATTTTTGCTATACTGCATGTGTACTTCACACACACTGAAGGTGATCATTTAGTCAATTTTATCATTTTGCTGAGGAACTGGCAATGAACCAACTTAAGTGTTTATTATTTGCTTTGTTTCATGAAAGGGAGATTTCGTGTTGAGTGTAAAAGTGGATATCTTTACCAATACTTTGTTTCGTTTTAGTGATTGATATATTCTCTACTTCTACAGGATGAAACCTCTTCCGATCCATTTTCCACTGCCACCAGTCCTTCTCGTCCTTCCCGAGGTCGACGAAGCAGTCGCGGTGATCCCATCACTTCCAGCCCAGGGCGTGATTTGGCACCGTTCGAGGATGAGTCTGAACTTGGGAATGCTGAGGAGGAGGAAGATGGGGAGGAGTTGTTCGGAGACAATCTGGAAAGGTGAGAAAATTTGGGTTCATTTCTTTACCATTTGATTTGTTTGTGGAGCTGGAAAATGTGGGAAAGTATTTTGTAAGAAATTGTTTTTAAATTCATGATTTGTATTTTGAATATTTGGAGGCATGGAATTGCATTCAATGGAATATATTTAATAGTTGTTTTTCTCTCTATAACTGTTGCTGATGAAATGAGTCATGTCTTGTGTATGAGTTTTCATCAGGGAATATCCTTTATCTAGCATTCTCAGTGCTTATAGCTTGCAAATTAGGAAAAAATCATAATGTTCAAAATTGCATAGTTTTAATGTTATATTCATACATTCTAATACGTTCCTATCAGAAGTTTATAACCGAATCAGGTACTCATTCTTGCTTACTTGGTTGACATGTCATTTTGTGTAGATCGATGCTCATCACTGGATTATGTGGTCCAGGCTCAGGGATTTACAGACCGTCAACATATAACTGGAATATTGCTGAGTGCAGCGTTAAACAACAACCAAACAAATACATATCAGAAGGACATACTGTCATTTGCTGCTGACTTAGGATCAGACATCATTTGAGCAGACTTGGATAATCCCTGATGTTCCCAAAATGTTAACATGTTGAAATGATTTGTTGATAATAGCTTCAGGATTGGCCTCTTCAACATGGTCAGCAGTTCCTATTAACGTTGTACTTTTCCTACAGGGACTACCAGACCATCCCTGCCCTTGACCGGTATGACCAGGACAATATGGACAACGAGGACTACTCCGACATATCCGAGTCCCAGCGTCAAGCTGCCGAGAGGGAGATCAGACAACGCGAGAGGGAAGAAGGGATTACCGCTGGTCGTATGAGGAGGGGTCTCATATATGGTAAGTCAAAATGTGGATTGATTTGGTAAAATTCTGCAAAGAATTTGCTTATATTAATGGATTTAGATTAACGTTCCTAATTTGCTCATAGAAACTTAGGTGACTGCTGCCTCTGTGGTCTGATGGATCAGTGTTCTGCCCAGAAACTGACCAAGTGGGGACAAGAACCCCTTCAGCAAAAACATGGGGTCATTTTCTTAGCTTATTGGTTCTCGCTGAGATATCTTATCAAACTTAAAACCAGAAAACTCCATTCCAACAATCCTTTTAGAAACAAACAGAATCCAAACTAAGATACTTTAGTAAATTTTGTCATTTTTTTTTTGTAGAGGATTCAGATACGATGAAGATCGCCCTGCTCGCAAACGTCGGATGGCAGAAAGGGCAGCGGAGGGTGATGTTGACGAGGAAGAGGTATGTGATGTGGAGATTAGTTAGTGAGTTAAAATGTTTAAGTATGGTCTGAAGTTACTGCTCTGTTGTTAAGTTAACATTAAGCGGTCTATACGATCTATATCTATTAGTGGTGTTCCGATTAATTGAAATAATCGAAGATTGGTCGCAGTGACCAAGGGACCAAGCAATTGATCACATTTTCTCATAATCGAACACAAACGATTTTGGAACTGCTGTTTTAGTCTTTGAAACACTTGACGATGGAACATATCTTCCGAAGTTGTCGGGGCCTGCAAACTTGTTTAATTCTTAGAAAACTGACTTCACTAACTGAAAAGTCATGACTGAATATTTCTTGAAGACTCCAGGAAGTTTATGGTCATGATATATTAGTCATCACTTTAAAGTAACAAGTTGCATCATGTTATACTTTTCTGCAATAACAACCTGGATAGGAATATCTGAAAAATGACGCTAACCAATTTTTTTCGATGATTGTTAGTTGGTAATGAAGCAATCATCAATTGTGAGATTTCAACCAATTCCCAACACTAATATCTATAGCCAGACTTTACACACAGGTGGACTTTGTTGTTGATGTAGTGTCGTGCAACCTTGTGTTGGATAGTTGCTTCTTCTCTCAGACATGAGGTTTCCTGGCCAGATAAGACTATTGACCTGTCACAGTGATATTGCGGAGTTCGGCATCTGACAATGTTCATCTGTCCCTAAATTCTGGATACTTTTCTATTGTGCCTTTCGTGTCTCAGATGATCGAGAGTATTGAAAACCTAGAAGACATGAAGGGGCACACAGTCCGAGAGTGGGTCACCATGTTGGCACCAAAGACAGAAATCAAGAACAGGTTTAAGAACTTCCTGCGAACATATTCGTAGATCAGAAAGGTCACAACGTGTACAGGGAAAAGATCAGACAGATGGTTGAAGGTATGGAATATCAGAAAAACGTCTACTTGTAATGAAAAATGATAAATGAAGTTTCTTGTGGAGATACGATAAGTTATCTCCCTTAGTCTATGGATTTAACTTTTGGTTTTACTATTTCTCTCAGCCAAAAGGAAAATATGATCATTGACTACAACAAAATAAAACAAGAAGACAAAGTCATCAATATCCCCCGCAATGGCAAAATACTCTTCATGATTATGTATACGAGTTATGATTATGTCAAATATTTAGGTGTGTATATAGAAAAGCGGAAGGAGAGTATTGAAAGGAGCACTATCACCAATTTCAGTCTCAGTCAAACTTGTTGCCATGGAAACGCCAAAAATATTTTATTCAGAATTCCAAAACTACCAAAAGGCACCAGTACACCACCAGACCAATCTATGTGCCACGTTTGGTGAAGAAATAGTAAGCGGTTTTAGAGTTCTGCTCCGGAAAAGAGCACTACCACCAATGTCAGTCTAAGTCGAACTTGTTGCCATGGAAACGCCAAAAATATTTTATTCAGAATTCCAAAACTGCCAAAAGGCACCAGTACACCACCAGATCAATGTATGTGCCAAGTTTGGTGAAGAAATATTGAATGCTTTAAGAGTTCTGCTCCGGAAAAGACAAATGTGCACGGGCGGACGAAGTCCATTTTAATACAAAACGCGTTGAGGGGGATAACAATGATAAACATTGCTTCAACAAAGTTTCTTGTTGAGATGTGATGAAAAGTTATCTCCCTTAGTCTATTGGTAGAACTCATGGTGTTGATATTCTGCTCAGCCAACAAGGAAAGCCTGATCATCGACTACAACATGTTGGCATCGGTGGAACAAGTGTTGGCCTACTTCCTGCCCGAGGCACCTGCAGAGATGCTGCAGAACTTTGACGAGGCTGGGAAAGAGGTGGTGTTAAGCATGTACCCCAACTATGAAAGAATAGCAAAGGAAATCCGTGTCAGGATAGCTGAGCTTCCTTTGATCGAAGATCTCCGATCCCTCAGGTAGGTTGACAATCTGGCCGATGTCCCTGCTAACAACTATTATCGTTAACTTAGCATGTGAAATATGTCAGCATGGCTGAGGCAGAAATCACGTCTTTGTATCTTTTTCCACCTGACTTAAAACCCATTTAAGCCACTGTTTGCATGGGATTACTTATTTGAGTCTAATAATGAAATAATTCTCACCCTGTGAACAAATACTGATGCTGTTCATTTTGTTTATTCAATAAGTAAGTCAAGCAGTAATTGTCTGTGGATTGATGTAAGGGAGACAACCCTTGATGTAGACCATGTATTCAGATAGCATGTAATATTAAGTGGAATGAGTGTTTAAAAGTGTGCGATAAATGGCTGTAACACTTTACATGCACATGAAATGGAATTCTGGTAAACTGCACATTGTAGTATCAGGTGCAGAGTCTGTCATTATTTAAATTGAAATTTATGTCAGTGGTGGAAATAACCCATTGCCCGACGCCCGAGTCCAGTGTTTTTTTCTGTAGGGCAAGCAGATTTGTATATCACACTGTATCGGTGTCCAGTTGATATTCCAATGATAATTATGTTGTTTATTTATAAAATCAACAAGAAAACAGCCGGTATAGTGGAATAATTATCAGGGCAAGTGATTTTACATGTGCCACTGTACCGGAGTAAACTAGCAATTTTAAAGTTATTTCCACCCCTGTATGTGTGAGTACAAATGAATAGAAGTCCAAGATACAGATGTTGATTTAACAATGACTGATTTGTTTGCAGACAACTTCACCTGAACCAGTTGATCCGCACGAGCGGCGTGGTGACCAGCACGACCGGCATCCTCCCCCAGCTGAGTGTCATCAAGTACGACTGTAACAAGTGTAACTTCATCCTCGGACCTTTCTACCAGACACAGAACCAGGAGGTCAAGCCGGGGTCTTGTCCAGAGTGTCAGTCCACTGGACCTTTCGAAATCAACATGGAACAGGTGAGTGTTTGATGATTGTGCCCCATTTATGATACAATAGGTCTCCTGAAGTATTCCCAACAGAGTCTTTGTCACATAACAATGAAACTTTACCAGTTTCAGAACTTACTTGTTTTTTTTGGGTCTGAAATATACATATTGATGCTGTAACAATTAGGCTTAGGTTTAAAGGGATAAAAAATTGGGCTGTCTAGATTATAATTTTTCTACCTTGTTCATATTGCTTTTTAGATTTTGAGTAGCCCTAGTGATGTATTGCCGGAGATTTCAAATACCATACACTTCCAAGTGTTTACTTTGAGAGGAGTTTCATACTGTGGAAGAGATGTAGCTGGCACTTAGTGAGATTGATAATACGATGTGCCTAGAGGTTGACATTCAATGATCGAGGGGAAAACATATCAGCGCCTTGAGCATGTACTAGTTGCGTGGATATGTGCGCTATATAAATATCCTATAATAATAATAATAACAACAGTAATACTGTTTTAGTAGAGTTGAACTGAACTCTCACTGTCCCTGGCTGAGAATGTATCTGGTATAATAAGGCTGGAAGGTTGCTACTGGACATGTATAAAACAACATTCACTTACTTTGATTCACCTCTTGGATGACCACACTTTGTACATATATATGTCGCAGACCCTGTACAAGAACTACCAGAGGATCACCCTGCAGGAGAGCCCAGGGAAGGTCCCGGCTGGACGTCTGCCCAGATCTAAGGACGCCATCTTGCTGGATGACAATGTTGACACATGCAAGCCTGGTGATGAGATTGTAAGTTTCCCGATGTTAATAAACCACTTTAGTGTAGAGACCAACTTTTACAATTTGTTTTAAATATGCTGATTTGAAATTTGTGTCCATCTGGTAAACACAATGCCATCAGAGAAGTTTGTTGGTGGTTTTAAGTTTGATCCAGATGTTTCAGTTTGTAGCTGGTTTACATGTTTAGTCCCATAGGATATGTAGGAAAATTGAAACAGTGAGAACTGGTTAATTTTTACTGTCTTGCATTTTGATGACTTAGTGAAAACTTATCGTCATTTGATGTTTATTGTCATCTGTGTAATTTAAGCAATCTTGGGGTAGGGTTTATTTGAAGGCTGTCACAAGTTTGTCACTGATGTAGGACAAAAAAACATTGAATCAAATTTATTTGAAGGGCTTGAAACAGTCAAACCAATTAAAGTTGCAGAGTGGTGTTTGTTAGGCTGAGTGTGACCTTAACTTTTGGGGCTGAAACTACGTAAGATCCTTGTGAACAGATTGTATTTTTTGTCTTTCAGGAACTCACAGGTATATATCACAACAACTATGACGGGTCCCTCAACACAGCAAATGGGTTTCCCGTGTTTGCAACAGTCATACAGGCCAACTACATCACCAAGAAGGACGACAAGATGGCTGCAGCCTGTCTGACAGACGAGGACATTAAAGCCATCGTTGCTCTGTCCAAGGATGAACGAATTGGAGAAAGGGTGAGTGCCAGTCTTACAATGTAGTCAGTTTGTTTAGAGATTTTACATGGTGTAGTTCTTCTAGATAATTTCATGAAGATTTTGTTCGGAGGAAAGAACTATTTCCCTTCCAGTTTGGACTAGTGAGCCGTTACCAAACCATGGCACCATTTCTGAACTGTGTGTCATTTTTCAGATCTTTGCCAGTATGGCACCTTCTGTGTATGGCCATGAGGAAATCAAGAGAGCCATTGCTCTGGCGATATTTGGCGGCCAGCCCAAGAACCCCGGCGGCAAGCACAAAGTACGAGGAGACATTAACATACTTGCTTGTGGCGAACCCGGTACTGCAAAGTCCCAGTTCCTCAAGTACGTGGAGAAAATGGCAGCTCGGGTAGTGTTTGCTACTGGTCAAGGTGCTTCCGCTGTGGGTTTGACCGCATACGTCCAGAGGAATCCGGTGTCCAAAGAATGGACACTTGAGGCGGGTGCTCTTGTGTTGGCCGATAAGGGAATCTGTCTGATTGACGAGTTTGACAAGGTAAGTTGTCTGTTGCCTTGCTGGGATTCTAGGTACAAATACATTGTGTCTGTTTGGAACCCAATGGACCTTATGTTCAAGGGGATAGTCCTCAACAGCTGCTACATGTAATTGTGCCTGGCCTGGCCTTAAGGCATCAGTGAAAACAATGCAAAAAACAAACTAGCTCAACTAGTTCCTTTTCCGAGTACAGGAAGCTAAACAGACCAGTTCTGCACAAAATGTCATTCACTTGAAAATATCTGTCACTTTCAGCATAAGTCGCCAAGATAAATGTAGTCAGTTTTAGTTATGGATAAATGTACATAATAAATCACACCAAAAAACACTTACTCAAAATATTCCAGTCACATGCAAGATGATTCAATCTGCACCGAAGGCTCCCTACAAAAACTTATCAACTAATTCTTTCCTCGTGTAGTGTAACGTGTAAACTGAGTGGTGGGTTACCTCCCTTTACTGGGACTTGATTGCGTGAAGTGACCACCTTGTATTGTGTTTTTCAGATGAATGATGCTGATCGTACAAGTATTCACGAAGCTATGGAACAGCAGAGTATCTCAATATCCAAGGCTGGCATTGTGACGTCACTTCAAGCAAGATGCACCATCATCGCAGCTGCCAACCCCATCGGCGGACGATACGACCCCTCTCTCACATTCTCAGAAAATGTGAGTTTGTATTTCTTGTTCTTTATTATATGTACACAGGGTCTCAAGAAGAGCTGATTGGCTTGAGTTCATGTTATTTTACTCACAACGGTCTGATATAGGATCGACCGCCTCCGTGGTGTAATGGTTAGAGCGTCCGCCCGGAGAGCGGAAGGTCGCGGGTTCGATCCCCGGCCGCGTCATACCAAAAGACGTTAAAATATGGTACTTGTTGGTCCCTGCCTGGCGTTCGGCATTAATGGGTACAACAAGGACTGGTCGGCTCGGAGTCAGTATAATGTGTCTGAGTGGGGTGTTCATGCTTCACTGCGGCATGGTATCTTAGTGGGCTAGCACTATAAAACCAGCTTAAGCCTGGGCTAGTACAAGCAGCCGCACATACACATACACACGCATGCACGTCGTCATATGAGTGAAATATTCTCAAGCACGACGTTAAACCCAATTTCACCTCACCTGATATAGGATCATTTCAAGCAAGTAGCACTGTACTTTGAGACTGTAGAGAATCTTCATTGGTTCAAATTTTCTAACTTTGTAGTTTATTTTAAGAAACACTTGAAGCTAAATAATGTTATGTGGAACTGAGAAATACTTATTTTTATATTCGGAAAGGCAAAAGTAATTTGATCTTAACATATGGTAAAAAAAGAACTGATTGAGAAGCAGAATTTGTTTCCAAATTGTAAGAATGGTTTGAGGTCCTATTTAACTATAGAATGTTTGAAATCTGAAGGGGACAGTAATAAGTTATGTGCTTCAAATAAGTGAAATATATTTAATAAGAAGATGGTTGTATAAGCATTTAGAAACTGTCGAGATGCCTTTGTTTTTAAAAACAATTTTGACATTGTTGCCTTGATTTTTTGACAGGTTGATTTGACAGAGCCGATTTTGTCCAGATTTGATATCCTGTGTGTAGTTAGAGACACGGTGGATCCAGTGCAGGTAGGTACTGTTGCCTGGCAACCATGTTTACAAATATTGTATATTATCACAAATAGTTCATCCAATCGAAAGTAATTTGTTAGATAGTGTATTTGATATTATAAGGCCCGTAACTATGGTTTTACACACCTTTCAGAAATAAGTATCATGAGTGTACATTAGATCTCAAACAATTGGAATGAGTTGAGACTCTACCATTAAACTTGGAAATTACATCAGTAATCTTAACTATTTCATAAATCTCAAGTTCACAGGTAGTAGTCGTGGCAGCTTTGGAAATATGTTTTCAGTAGAAGATTTCTTGTTCAGCCCTGTCATGTTTCCTGATGTCTGTTTCAGGATGAACGTCTTGCGAGGTTTGTGACAAGCAGTCATATGAAACACCATCCCAATGCTACAGAACAGACAGAAGACTTACTGGTAAGTGGCAGTTTTAATATGAGAGTGATGGGCCATGTGGCCGAGTCTTTGAAAGTGCCCCAGTTTGCAGTACAGAGATGCATCACGTAGGCTTGTTTGAAACCTTTGTAGTACAGAAATGAATCACATAGGCTTGTTTGAAACCTTTGTAGTACAGAGATGCATCACGTAGGCTTGTTTGAAACCTTTGTAGTACAGAGATTCATCACGTAGGCTTGTTTGAAACCTTTGTGGCTTTAGGACACCTATATTTGTACGTTTTTAGCACCATACTCATGTTTGTAGATCTCTCAAGTAATAAACATCATTGACATGCATCACTTTGTGCTTTACATCCACAGTTGATATGTTTTGGAATGACTGGAATACTATGAAACATCATTAAGCGCAGCTAACTTGCCTATTTACTGTGAAGGTTGGGGGTCAGTGGGGTTGTCAAGTGGTTAAAGCGTTCGCTTGTCACGCTGAAGACCCGGGTTTGATTCCCCACATGGGTATAATGTGCGAAGCCCACTTTCTGGTGTCCCTTGCCGTGATATTGCTGGAATATTGCTAAAAGTGGCATAAAACCAACTCTTGCTCAGTAATCACTGTGGCGTTAAGGCTGCCTGGTAGCAGCATTCACCAGTATTTGATTGTATGGAGAATTTGTTAGAAATTTGTTCCAATCCTCACTATGTTTGGAAAGTTCATGGCCCGGTACCATATATTACTCGTTGTCTATGAAGGTGATTTAAGAATGACTCTGTTTGCAGGATAACCTGAACAATACTGGCATTGACCCCATACCCCAGGAGTTACTGAAGAAGTATGTGATCTACGCCAAGGAGAAGGTCCACCCCAAACTCCACAACATGGACCAAGACAAAGTGGCCAAGATGTACGCAGACCTCCGACGGGAATCCATGGTGGGTAGAAGGCTGTAACGATTCATATTTGGGGTATCGACTGTATACCTTCATATTTCATTTGACAGTAATGTGGTCACTGGTTAATGTGGTGGTAATTAATATTGTCAATGTAGTCAAAACATGGCAAGCATATACTTGGTTATTGTTTCAGTGAATCAACATCTGCTTGTTATTGTGTTCATTGTCCAATATTCATGAGTTGTATCGTGCTCATTGCAACTCAAGTAGGTTGTAGGGCTAGAACACCAGTTTGAATCAGGGATGGAATTTAACAAAGAATGACTAGCTGAGTAGTGGTCACACAGAAATACCTAAAATGTTCGAATCTTGCCACTTAGATACCTTTACCATTAGCAAGACTGGTTAGCGCCTATTTTCCATCTGTGAGAGGAGGAGACAAGTAACCTGTTTTAAGATGTGATTGAGTGGATTGGTTGGTCAGGCCCTGCGACAATGTTGATTGAATGTCATTGGGTCTGAACAATGATATATACTGGGAATTCCCATGGAAAAAAAATCATTGTTCTAGTGATGAAATATTTTAACCATATTTAAGCCCAGGGCTGAAATTTTAAAAAATGCAAAACACAAACGTCAAACTATTATGAGAGGACTGACTGACATCTAAGACAATGAGTAGTGTCCAGAGTGACTAGTTTTCAGAGTTCAAAGCTGTGAAAATGTTAACTTGAGTATTTCAAGTTATAACAGTCAATTCAGAGTTTAGTTGGGCTTTACGTCCCATCGGCATTATTCCAGCCATATGGTGACGAGATCAAGTCTGAATTCATGAACATTTTAACTTCTTTGCTAATTTGACAGGAGTGACTGACTGATATATATGGCTGTGACACTATTCAGAGTCAAAGTCTCCGCGTTTAGAAAGGGACGGCACTCTAAACACCTAAGAATTAAATACGGGGGGGGGGAAATCCCGTATTTTAGGCCATGGGCTAAATTTCACGTGGGCCTAAATACGGTTATTCACGGTAGTCATTGACTAGACTGTATTATTGTCTGACGATTGTTAGTTATTATTAAAAGTGCTGTATGAGGAGTGGGTGAAATGTTCCGGGCGGGAGGAAACCTTTCTACATCAGTGGGATCTTGGTACTCCAGCTTTGTGTGGACCTAAAAAGTGTGTAGGTTTAAAAAATGATGGGCAACATCTCTAATGCAGACCATCTTGGCCACGTGACCATTTCAGCCACCCCTCGAACCTGGATAATGTTTAATACAGTGATAAAGAGGAAACTGTTAACTTGTGTAAGACAACTGAGTCACTTCCTCATTGTTACAGGCAACTGGCAGTATCCCTATCACAGTGCGTCACATCGAGTCCATGATCCGTATGGCGGAGGCCCACGCCAGGATGCACCTGCGTGACTACGTCAACGAGGATGATGTCAATATGGCCATCCGTATCATGCTGGAGAGCTTCATCAGCACACAGAAGTTCAGCGTTATGAGAAGCATGAGAAAGGTGGGTGCTTAACAATTTATCTTCAATTTCACAGGGGTACAGTGGTGTATAGTTATAGTGAAAAAAACACTAATAGTCACGTGCATTTTGACGAAAATATACAGCAAGCTGATGAGCAAAAAACTCTTCACTGTACCTGTCAGTTCATTGTAAATTTAAAATCTCGGTAAGTTCGCAAGCATAAATATTCAGATTAAGAGTTACTTCCCTTTGGTTTGAGTAGGGGAGAATGAGAAAACTGACGGACTTTGAGATTGCAAGCAGTACTTTATTTGATGTTGATATTAGGTTTTATGTTTTCTTGTACTGCAGAGGTGGAAATAATTCAACAATCGTCGTTCCCCCCACCACCACACACACACACATTTCTGTAATTCTGTAATGCTGGTTATATTGTCTGATTGCCTTTACTGATAACTACTCAGACTATCATTAACTCACTGCTTAGATGGTGAATCTGATAGCGTAATGTGGTAATACTCCACCTTCAGCGATCGTTATCTCCACTGTAAATTATACCATCTCGTATAGGCGGAGGCCCACGCCAGGATGCACCTGCGTGACTACGTCAACAGGATGATGTCAACATGGCCATCCGTATCATGCTGAGAGCTTCATCAGCACACAGAAGTTCAGCGTTATGAGAAGCATGAGAAAGGTGGGTGCTTAACACTTTATCTTCAATTTCACAGGGTACAGTAGTGTATAGTTATACTGAAAAAACACTAATAGTTACGTGCATTTTGACAAAATATACAGCAAGCTGATGAGCAAAAACTCTTCACTGTATCTGTCAGTTCATGGTAAATTTAAAATCTCGGTAAGTTAGCAAGCATAAATATGCAGATTAAGAGTTACTTCCCTTTGGTTTGAGTAGGAGAGTGAGAAAACTGACAGACTTTGAGATGCAAGCAGTACTTCATTTGATGTTGATATTAGGTTTTACGTTACCTGTGCTGCAGAGGTGGAAATAATTCAACAATCGTGCGTTCCCCCCACACCCACACCCACACACCCATTCTGTAATGTTGGTTACATTGTGTGATTGCCTTTACTGATAACTACTCAGACTATCATTAACTCACTGCTTAGATGCTGAATCTGATAGCGTAATGTGGTAATACTCCACCTTCAGCGATCGTTATCTCCACTGTAAATTATACCATCTTCTAGCATAAGCTTGTAAATAACAGCACCCTCTCATTAGTAATTGCAAATTACTTAAGACCATACTCACTTAAGTTTATTGTGAAACCAAAATGGTTGATAACATCACAAAAGCTGCAAGGTTTTCAAGATCTGTGTTAGAATTGGTCTTCAGTAACACATGCTTGTTGTAAGAGGCGACTAATGGGATCGGGTGGTCAGGCTCACTGACTTGGTTTACACATGTCATCGTATGCCAGTTGCATAGATTGATGCTCATCGCTTACTAATGGGATCGGGTGGACAGGCTCACTGACTTGGTTTACACATGTCATCGTATGCCAGTTGCATAGATTGATGCTCTTGATGTTGATCACTGGATTGTCTGGTCACAATTATTTACAGACCACTGCCATATAGTGGCACCTAATACTGATGAATGGGGTGTTGTCAACCAAAAAATGCTAGGTTTCCCTTGGAGATGGTATATGTTTCTGTTTTCTTCTGCTGCAGACATTCGGGCGCTACCTCTCCTTCAGGAAAGACAACAATGAACTACTTCTGTTCATCTTGAAGCAGCTTGCCCAGGATCAGATGTCTTTCCAGCGTAACCGATACGGCATGGAACAGGATTCACTAGAGATATCGGAGAAGGATCTGGCAGATAAGGTTAGTCAAAAGGCATCAGGCGTCACCCTCAATTTGTTGGTCACTTTTTTCTGAATACACAAAAAACAGTGCCATTTATTTGGCTGTTCAAATTTTTTGAATGACCCCAGATTTTCATGGCAAGAGTCTTTCTGTTAAGCGCTTTATTCTGCAGTGTTGACATACAATACTGACTGATTGAGTTTGGTTTTACGCCGCTTTTAGCAATATTCCAGCAACATCACGGCGGACACCAGAAATGGGCTTCACACATTGTGCCCATGTGGGGATTCGAACCCAGGTCTTCGGCGTGACTAGCCAACGCTTTAACCATTAGGCTACCCCACCGCCCTGACATACAATAACATCAGTCTGATTTTGTACATCTGATATAACTCAACACTCCTTCCTCTTCTTTAATCTGAAGACTTTCTCCTTGGAAACTGTTCGTTTTCTCCTTAGTAAATGTTTCAGTCATCCTGAAATTTTGGTTGATTTTAGATAATGTTGTCAAACTTTTCCAATTTCAGGCACGACAGATCAACATTCACAACTTGACCTCCTTCTACGACAGTGACATCTTCAAGATCAACCATTTTGCACATGACACTAAACGCAAGGTCATTATTCAAAGTTTTTGAAACAATGACTTCATTGCTCACCACCAACCAACAGTGGAAGAAACGTTTCTTTTAATGCAGATTTTGTTGAAGATGAAGTCATTTGAACACTGAGAGGTCTTTCCCATGTTCATCCTTGATAACCAAGTCGAAATCTTGATTGGATTACTGACAAAATGAGATTTCATCTTGCTTCGTGGTATTTCGTCCTTCCATCTATCCAGACAGTGTTTTAAGCATCTGTGACATCGCTGAAATCTTCAGAACACTGTGTGCATCAATATATAGACATGGATGATAGGGTAACTGTGAGGAAAAACACAACTAAATTGAACATTTTTCAAATGTTTATTCTGTACAAATGTAAGTTTTGAAGGTGTATAGTACTGATTGTACATTATGTAAATGTATGTGAACCGGAGGATGAATTGTCTGTTTGACTTGTACATAAATTGAATAGCAAAACAGTCAGTCGCTTGTGTTTATTGTGACATAAAAGCAGCAATGATGCCATCTTCAATTAGCCTCTGGGTGAAACCAGAGTGAAAAGCCAAGGTTTGGTTTACTGCTCTTGCTCGAATATTGCAAATGAGGGTAAAATGAAAGACTTGTGATATACACCCTGTACCCATTTAGCTTTGCTCCAGAGTTCCAAGTCAAACTGGAGATGTGCGAGTGTTTTAAGGTTCAGACTATTTGCAAACAACTTTATTCAGCTCCAGGTATTAGAACATGCACATATAATCGCTTAACTCAATTTGTTGTGAAGTGGTCCGTGGAAGGTTCCGATTCCCAGCCGCATTGTACCAAAAGAGGTTATAATATGGTACTTGTTGGTCCCTGCTTGGCATTTATGGGTTCATATGAGCTAAATATTCTTAAGTGTGACCTTAAATAACTTGCATATTCACAAACAAGTTTATTCAACCCCAGATCTTAGACCATGCACCCACATTCGCAAAATAACTTTATATAACTAGTTACTGGTTTGGTTAAATAACCTTTGTTAGGAATATTGGGATTGATTGTCACCCTATCGTCAATGTCAACAAGTTTTCGAAGGCATGCTGGAAAATCGGTCCATGTGGTGTTTAAATAACAAGAGTGAGGTAAGTTATGTACCACTTAAAGAATTTTCCCTGCAAAATCACGTATGGGTGCACCAGAAATGGGCTCCACGCATTCTACCCATGTGGGGAATCGAACCTGGGTCTTCAGCGTGACGAGTGAATGCTTTAACCACTAGGCTACACCACCGCCCAATAAATCGAAAAAAGAAAGAGAATGATTAGATAAGTTATGGCTATACTGCATAAAAAAAGCCTTGGGGACGATTGTAATTTGTCTGCTACATCTGTTTATTATAATGAACACTTCGTCAATCTATGATTAAACAATATAATCTCACCTGGAGATGTATTTGTAACTAACAATTATTTGGTCAGTTTTCAAAACCTATGTCTTGATTTACAGAACTGTAACTGGAAATTGACCACAGTTGTTTGACGTTGACAGTTCTCACAAGGTACACTATTTGTAATGCTCTAAAAACTTCTGGAAGAACTGCCGCGCTTGGCTGCTGGAGAGTCGAACCTCTGGATCGATGTTCCAACACTTTACAATCAGTATGTGCCATTGCTCTGGGGGTTTACAGTTGATGGACATGGAGGGTCGGAGGCCCTTCTCAATCGCTCGCTCGAACGTGGTGAACAGCTGGCCCTTGATGTGGTTGGCCGCGTCCTGGCCGTACCACATCTCCCACGTGATGATGCCGAAACTGTACATGTCCGCCTTGACGTCATAGCGACCCTTCTGTAGAAGCACTTCCGGTGCCATATACACTGGACTTCCGGCGATTGTGCCTGATATGTCGTGAACACGTTTGGCCAGTCCCACGTCCGTTAATTTAACCACGTCGTCTGCGTCGAGCTGTAAATAAAGCAAATCTTTATTAGAATTGTGGTCATATGCTGAAGGCAAAGAGTCCGTGGGTTTTGTTAAGGCCGGTTTGAGAAAGGAGTTCATTTATGTCATGCCATACCATCATAATAGAGACGGAAAGTGGTCGCAAACTGTCAGACTTTAGCAGGGCATGACTGAATGTACCGTGTATTGTTGGCAAAAATCTGAAAAATGACGCACAGTTCAAAATTGATGCCATGGTTTGTTAACATCTCACTATCATATGGCATAATATCTGAGTTTGAATCGCAGAAAACAAACAAAAGAATGGATTTCAGTCCATGATTATATTTCTGACTGCCTGAGAAACCCCTTTGCACAGCCAATTGTGGCACCTTATAGGACACTCCCCTTTTCAAAGCCTGACCTCGTCAGTTGCCTCTTACTACACGCATGGATTGCTGAAGACCAATTCTAACCCGGATCATCACGGGTGTGCTGAGTTTCTAACTTTACCAGTATATTATCCGGCTTCATGTCCCGATGGACGAGGCCCTTCTTGTGGAGGTACTTGCGACCACAGAGTATCTGTTCTATGAACACAGCTACCGTCTTCATTGCTTCTATCTGGGGCTTCTGTGTCCGCCTCGTATTTAGAGGGGCTTCGGGCTTCTTTTTCCTACAAACTTGGCCATGAGCGTTTTGGGGCAGTATTCGAGGACCATGACCACTTCATTTTCACGACCACTGACCTGTCTGGACGCCCCATATGTAGTAGGTCACTACGTTTCGGTCATTTCAAATCCTGTAAATAGATATTTCATGCATATAATAACAATTTTAAAAAGCAGAACTGAAGCAAGTAAAGGTCTCTTGTAGTCACGTGACCTGCTACTAATGCGTCGTGTCAGGTGGATGTCAGTTGGGAGAATTTGGATGAATATACAGGGACACAATTATTTTTCATAAAACCACGAGCACAAACCCAGGAAATCACCAATCGGGGTTATACGAATCTACGATCATTGGTTCCTTTGTACCTGTAAAGGGACGCAACCCAGAATAGCGAATATGTTCCTCAGAGGCTTGTTTGTTATATTACGCCGCACTCAGCAATATTACACGTGTCAGCGGGCTAAAGTAACGGAGTCTGGACCAGAAATTCCAGTGATCAACAGCATGAGCATCGATATACTGCGTTACGATGACATGACGTGTCAACTTAAGTCAGCGAATCCTGACCACCCGATTCCGTTTTGCACATGACACTAAACGCTAAGGTCATTATTCAAAGTTTTTGAAACAATGACTTCATTGCTCACCACCAACCAACAGTGGAAGAAACGTTTCTTTTAATGCAGATTTTGTTGAAGATGAAGTCATTTGAACACTGAGAGGTCTTTCCCATGTTCATCCTTGATAACCAAGTCGAAATCTTGATTGGATTACTGACAAAATGAGATTTCATCTTGCTTCGTGGTATTTCGTCCTTCCATCTATCCAGACAGTGTTTTAAGCATCTGTGACATCGCTGAAATCTTCAGAACACTGTGTGCATCAATATATAGACATGGATGATAGGCAAACTGTGAGGAAAAACACAACTAAATTGAACATTTCTTCAAATGTTTATTCTGTACAAATGTAAGTTTTGAAGGTGTATAGTACTGATTGTACATTATGTAAATGTATGTGAACCGGAGGATGAATTGTCTGTTTGACTTGTACATAAATTGAATAGCAAAACAGTCAGTCGCTTGTGTTTATTGTGACATAAAAGCAGCAATGATGCCATCTTCAATTAGCCTCTGGGTGAAACCAGAGTGAAAAGCCAAGGTTTGGTTTACTGCTCTTGCTCGAATATTGCAAATGAGGGTAAAATGAAAGACTTGTGATATACACCCTGTACCCATTTAGCTTTGCTCCAGAGTTCCAAGTCAAACTGGAGATGTGCGAGTGTTTTAAGGTTCAGACTATTTGCAAACAACTTTATTCAGCTCCAGGTATTAGAACATGCACATATAATCGCTTAACTCAATTTGTTGTGAAGTGGTCCGTGGAAGGTTCCGATTCCCAGCCGCATTGTACCAAAAGAGGTTATAATATGGTACTTGTTGGTCCCTGCTTGGCATTTATGGGTTCATATGAGCTAAATATTCTTAAGTGTGACCTTAAATAACTTGCATATTCACAAACAAGTTTATTCAACCCCAGATCTTAGACCATGCACCCACATTCGCAAATAACTTTATATAACTAGTTACTGGTTTGGTTAAATAACCTTTTGTTAGGAATATTGGGATTGATTGTCACCCTATCGTCAATGTCAACAAGTTTTCGAAGGCATGCTGGAAAATCGGTCCATGTGGTGTTTAAATAACAAGAGTGAGGTAAGTTATGTACCACTTAAAGAATTTTCCCTGCAAAATCACGTATGGGTGCACCAGAAATGGGCTCCACGCATTCTACCCATGTGGGGAATCGAACCTGGGTCTTCAGCGTGACGAGTGAATGCTTTAACCACTAGGCTACACCACCGCCCAATAAATCGAAAAAAGAAAGAGAATGATTAGATAAGTTATGGCTATACTGCATAAAAAAAGCCTTGGGGACGATTGTAATTTGTCTGCTACATCTGTTTATTATAATGAACACTTCGTCAATCTATGATTAAACAATATAATCTCACCTGGAGATGTATTTGTAACTAACAATTATTTGGTCAGTTTCAAAACCTATGTCTTGATTTACAGAACTGTAACTGGAAATTGACCACAGTTGTTTGACGTTGACAGTTCTCACAAGGTACACTATTTGTAATGCTCTAAAAACTTCTGGAAGAACTGCCGCGCTTGGCTGCTGGAGAGTCGAACCTCTGGATCGATGTTCCAACACTTTACAATCAGTATGTGCCATTGCTCTGGGGGTTTACAGTTGATGGACATGGAGGGTCGGAGGCCCTTCTCAATCGCTCGCTCGAACGTGGTGAACAGCTGGCCCTTGATGTGGTTGGCCGCGTCCTGGCCGTACCACATCTCCCACGTGATGATGCCGAAACTGTACATGTCCGCCTTGACGTCATAGCGACCCTTCTGTAGAAGCACTTCCGGTGCCATATACACTGGACTTCCGGCGATTGTGCCTGATATGTCGTGAACACGTTTGGCCAGTCCCACGTCCGTTAATTTAACCACGTCGTCTGCGTCGAGCTGTAAATAAAGCAAATCTTTATTAGAATTGTGGTCATATGCTGAAGGCAAAGAGTCCGTGGGTTTTGTTAAGGCCGGTTTGAAAAGGAGTTCATTTATGTCATGCCATACCATCATAATAGAGACGGAAAGTGGTCGCAAACTGTCAGACTTTAGCAGGGCATGACTGAATGTACCGTGTATTGTTGGCAAAAATCTGAAAAATGACGCACAGTTCAAAATTGATGCCATGGTTTGTTAACATCTCACTATCATATGGCATAATATCTGAGTTTGAATCGCAGAAAACAAACAAAGAATGGATTTCAGTCCATGATTATATTTCTGACTGCCTGAGAAACCCCCCTTTGCACAGCCAATTGTGGCACCTTATAGGACACTCCCCTTTTCAAAGCCTGACCTCGTCAGTTGCCTCTTACTACACGCATGGATTGCTGAAGACCAATTCTAACCCGGATCATCACGGGTGTGCTGAGACACAACTTTACCAGTATATTATCCGGCTTCATGTCCCGATGGACGAGGCCCTTCTTGTGGAGGTACTCCAGACCACAGAGTATCTGTTCTGCGAACACAGCTACCGTCTTCATTGCTTCTATCTGGGCTTCTGTGTCCGCCTCGTATTTAGAGGGGCTTCGGGCTTCTTTTCCTACAAACTTGGCCATGAGCGTTTTGGGGCAGTATTCGAGGACCATGACCCACTTCATTTCACGACCACTGACCTGTCTGGACGCCCCATAGTAGGTCACTACGTTTCGGTGTTTCAAATCCCTGTAAATAGATATTTCATGCATATAATAACAATTTTAAAGCAGAACTGAAGCAAGTAAGGTCTCTTGTAGTCACGTGACCTGCTACTAATGCGTCGTGTCAGGTGGATGTCAGTTAGAGCCCGGATGAATACAGGACACAATTATTTTCGCAAAACCCACGAGCACAAACCCAGGAACACAATCGGGGTTATACGAATCCACGATCATTGGTTCCTTGTACGCCCAAGGGACGCAACCCAGAATAGCGAATAGTTCCTCAGAGGCTTGTTTGTTATATTACGCCGCACTCAGCAATATTACACGTGTCAGCGGGCTAAAAGTAATCGAGTCTGGACCAGAAATTCCAGTGATCAACAGCATGAGCATCGATATACTGCGTTACGATGACATGACGTGTCAACCAAGTCAGCGAATCTGACCACCCGATTCCGTTAGTCGCCTGGATTGCTGAAGACCAATTCGCGGACTGGCCGATCCGTGTCCCAGCATTTTAGGAGTGAGTGAGTGAGTTGGGGTTTACGTCGCCTTTAGCAATATTCCAGCAATATCACGACGGGGGACACCAGAAATGGGCTTCACACATTGTGCCCATGTGTGGAATCGAACCCGGGTCTTCGGCGTGACGAGCCAACGCTTTAACCATTAGGCTACCCCACCGCCCCAGCACTTTTGGACATTGGTATCGGAAACTGAACATTTGTGGGTTACTGGAGGGGTTACACATTCCTTCTAAACACTTTAGGAAACCCGACACACCATGCCAGAGCTTTTACACATGGAACAAGGATTCGTTGTGTTGTTATTTTTGTTGTTTGTTGTTTAAGGCGGCTGTCAGCAAAATATATGACTGTGGTCATACATGTGACATCACGAGCATCGATTAACCTGAATGAATCAAGTCCCACCACCCGATCCTGTTAGTCCCCTCTGGGGCGTAGGGGTAGCCAAGTGGTTAAAGCGTTCGCTCGTCACGCCACAGGCCTGGGATTCGATTCCCCACATGGGTACAATGTGTGAAGCCCATTTCTGGTGTCCCCCACAGTGATATTGCTGGAATATTGCTAAAAGCGGCGTAAAACTAAACTCATTCAGTCAGTTCGGCTCACGACACATACGGTTAAATTGACCTCGTAGGCGTTGACCTTCACCTTAGCGTATTGTCCTCGAGCAGCACGTCCGTAACGTTGGTGATGTCCAGAGGTTCCTTGCAGACCTTGAGAGCAACTGGGATGTCGCCGTCGGCTGTGACGAGGCGCGAGTAGTAGACGTTGGCGAAGCTCCCTCGACCAATGGGGATTTCCGTCGCATTCTTATTAAGTTCTGCGAAACCATAATTGAACTTCATGAGTTTCCTGGCGAAGAACATGTCCAGATAGCCTTGCAGGTCCTCAGCTTCTTCGATGAATTTAGGGTACATATTCATGAGATTAGCCTGACCGTGGTCAACTTCTCTGGTCAGTGATGTCATTAACTGGCGGTCAGCTCGTAGAAACTCTGGGAGCATCTTTCCAATCTGAAACGACCAATAAATAAGTAAACAATCCAACCAACAAATGTCACAAATAACATTAAACAGCATTATAAAACTCTTACCGATGTACACCTAAACTGGTATAAACTTTTGGCTTACTCCGCTTTGAACAGTATTTGAGTTCGCCTTCAGCAATATGACCGCAGGGAACACCAAAAATAGGCTTTACACACTATACCCATGTGGAAAATCCGAACCGGGTCCTCGGCGAAACGAGCGAGTGCCTTAACCAGCAGGCTACCAAGCCACCCCATTTCCAGATCAACCCGTGAAGATCAGGTTTGAATTGGTCTTCTGCATCCCATACTGATACGTGAGTGAGTGGGTTTAGTCAACACTTAACCAAGAACGGGTAATCTAAACCATAACATCGGTTCCATTTGCCCACTTCCTAACAGGCAATATGTATTCTTACTCTGTCAATGTTCTTGGCAAAACGCTCAAAGAACTTCTCCACCGCCGACGTAACGTTCTTCTCTGTCAGTCCGTCCAGGAACATCTTCGAAGCGTCCTGCATGACCTGTGGGGCGTTGCTGGAGCTGTAGGTCTTGAAAAGCGCTCGAACTTTATTGGCTCTGGTGTCTAAAGAGAAGGAACTCCCAACCGCAGTTCCTAAACTCATGAAACCCTCTGTTTTACCCCCAGTCTTCTTATCTGCTTTCTTCCATACTTTCGTGATCGGGGCCCGGGTTCTGAGGGAATTGTGGAGATCTACCATTGTCTTCACGTCTTCGCCAAGAAACACTCCTGAAAATATGAGATGGATATTGGTATTGGCGGATGCCTTGGTATAGGATATCTCATAAAATAGCAGGTTATCTTAACAAGACACAGTATTTTTCAACGATGACAGCGAACTCAAATACAGGATATCATAGCAAAATACATTGGAAAGCTTTGCACAACACGGGACACCTAAACAAAACACAGGTGATCTGAAATCATCCCACGGGATATCTTTAGCAAGTAATAGGATACCCAGACAAACAGTAACCCTTGGCAAACCACAGGGTACCTGAACAAAACACAGGATACCTGAACAAAACACAGGTGATCTGAACAAAAGACAGGTGATCTGAACAAAACACAGGTGATCTGCAAACATCCCACGGGATATCTTTAGCAAGTCATAGGGTACCTAGACAAACAGTAACCCTTGGCAAAACACAGGGTACCTGAACAAAACACAGGGTACCTGAAAAAAACACAGGATACCTGAACAAAACACAGGTGATCTGAAAACATCCCACGGGATATCTTTAGCAAGTCATAGGATACTTTTTTTTTCTTTTTTCTTTTTTTTCTTTTTTATTCCATTTCAAGTCTCACATAAAATACATATGGCAAAGAGGACAACTAAATATATATGTATATAGCTTCAGTGATGTTTTGCAAGGTTCTATATGACATAAAAGACAGTATTGCAAACATATACACACACGCGCACACATACATGTATACATATACATACATATGCACATACATACACGCATGTATACATATATATAAATATAACATCATGAGATTACAACAATGATATAGATACATAAGATGTCATTAAAGTTTCTGTGGAGGGAGTATGAAAATGGAGGGGTAAAGTTGAATAGTATGGTTGTAGTGAGTAGGGTCTGGAGGTTTCAGCTGATATTATAAGTAGAATTTAATGTTTAGCACATAGTAAGGTATATAAATGTTTCCATTTCCTTATAAAGGGATCTAAGCTATTGTTTTTCCTAGCTATATATTTTTCAGTTGTATATATATCTTTTAATAACTTAAAAAATCCCTCAAGGGAAAGTGTTTGTTGTTTTATACTTGAAACATAAATGAATCTTTTGGCAAGAAGTATAATATGGTTTAGAATTTTATTGTTTGAGAACATTCCAAACATGATAGTGAATTTTGTAAGTGTGACATCACACTGGAGATGGGCATTTAGAAATTGTTCTACTTTTCGCCAAAAGTTTTTAACTAAATCACAGTAAAAAAATACATGCAATATGTCTTCTGAGGTATTTTTACAAAAAGTACAAGTATCATTATCAACTAGCTTCATCTTCAATAGTTCTTTCTTTGTATAGATTATTCTGTAAATAAATCTGTACTGAAAATCTAACAGCTTACAATCATTTGTGCATTTCCTGTAATATCTGAATACATTACTCCACATTATATCCTGCTGAAAGACAGTTTTCCAATACTCTAGTACTTTAGGGGTATTGTTGTTCTTAATCAATATATCGTAGAATATCCTTGAACCTTTAATATTTGAGATCATATCTAGGTAAACTCTATTAATGTTTAATTGATTTAAGCAGAGAGTTCTGTTTCCTACAAGTTGTCTCCAGTTCATTGGAATGTTATTTAACAAATGATGATAGTCTAAGAAGGTCCCGCTTATTTTGTACCTCTGTTTTACATCTTCAAAACTGAGAAATCCATTTTCATTACAAATATCGCTGACATAATGTATACCGCACTTAAACCAATTTCTTATCATGTATGAAGATTTAAAGAAATGGTTAAACCAGAGTGGCTGAGCTAAGATTTGGTCTAAGTCATCGCTGTCAAAGGTGTGTTTTTTATAAAATATTCTCCATGCAGATAAAACATCTCTCCAATAGGGATTATCTTTTGCCAGGTAAGCAATCAACAACATTAGAACCTAGAAAGTACAGTTGACTTAAGGGAAAAATGCTATTAAAATTTGAAGTTTTCTGTAAGTGACATTTCAGTGATGATAATTTCGAAGCGTTAATGAAACATTCAATGTCAATCATTCTGAGGCCTCCATCTTCCTAAGTTCTACTGATATTAGACCTTTTAATCTTATCATTTTTATTATTCCATATGAATCTATAGATTATTTTATTGAGTTCATCGATGAATGTTTTTGGCGGGTTAGGAAGTGGTGAGAAAATATGTACTAGAGTAGAAATTGCTAGAATTTTGATAACAGTGATTTTCCCGATTAGAGTCAGGTTTCTTCTTCGCCAACTAGCAAGTAATCTATTAATATGTTCTAGGCGTTTTCTGGTGTTAATTACCCAAAGGTCTTTAAGAGAAGCATTAAGTGTTATTCCTAAGATTTCAAAGTCTCCACTGTGCCAGTCAAGATAGGAGTCATTGGCTAAAGTTATATTACTACCTGTCATTGAGCCTATCCAGATAGCTTTTGTCTTGTTTAAGTTCATTTTGAGTCCAGACATTTGATAGAATTTATTCAGTGTTTCAATTGCAACACTAAGACTTGTTTCAGATCCATCTAGAAATAGCCGTGTATCGTCCGCATATTGTCCGAGCTTCTGTTCTGTATCATTAAGTGTTATACCCTTTATATTCGGATTCGACCTTATCATAATACCTAATATTTCAACAGCAAGGATAAATAAATACGGTGAGACTGGATCTCCCTGTCTACACCCTCGTTCCTTGTGGAAAAAGGAGGAGATGTGCCCGTTTTGTATCACAGCTGCTGTATTATTACCGGTTAGAATTTGAATCCATTTGATAATATTGGGCCCAAACCCAAACGCTTTCATTGCCTGTATTATAAATGTTTTGGAGATAGTGTCAAAGGCTTTTTCAAAATCCTTCTTGTTTCAAAGACAATATCATATAGAAGTCTTATATTTTCACTCATACATCTCCCAGGTATAAAACCTGTTTGATTTTCATGTACAATTGTATCTAATATTGAATTTAAACCTGTTTGCAATACATGTGCTTATTATTTTGTAAAGGGAATTTAGTAATGAAATAGGTCGCCAGTTCTTTAGGAATTTTCTGTCTCTATTTGGTTTAGGTAAACAAGTAATAATTCCCCTGTTCATTGTATTAGTTAATTCATTATTTGTAAAGGTTTCTTTTATAAATCTGTAAACCCAATGGCTTACATCTTTCCAAAAGAACTTAAAGAATTCAATGGGGTAGCCATCAATTCCTGGGCTTTTATCATTCTTCATGGATAAAACAGCCTTATTTATTTCTTCTAAGCTAATTTCTTTTTTCCAAATCCTCAAATTCTTTTTTAGTTATCTTTGGAGTGTTAATAGAACTTAAATCAATATCATTTTGATCCTCATGTTGGTGAATATCTCTATACAAATTACTGTAAAATTGTTTCAGTTCGTCTAAAATACCACTACCATCAGTTATCAGATCGCCATTATCTTTCATAACACTTCCTATAAGCTTACTGGTAAAATTTCTGTTTTCCAGATGACAAAAATAGCTGGTGGGTTTTTCTCCTTCTTCATACCATTTTGTTCTTTTTAGAAATTGAGTTCTTCTTACATCTTCCTCATTAATATGCTCCAAAAGTGTTTTCTTAGTAGCTAATTCTGCTAAATATTCTTCATTTAAATTGTTAAAGTAGCTTCTTATATTTTCTTCAAGAATTTGTATTGATTCTTCAAGATCCTTTCTGTTTTTTTCTCTATTTATCTTAATGTATGTAGAAAATGAAATGTTTTTTCCTCTCAAATTCATTAAGAAAGTTTCTAGAAATAAAGATTCAGATATTATCAATTCCTGCGTTCCGTCTTTTATAAAGTTGTTCGATTCGTCTTCATATTGTCAATATTTTTTGCATATTCGAGTAGAGTATCATGTAATATATTTTTGACAATTTTTATATATTCTTCGTTGTGTAAGAGTGAGGTGTTAAATTTCCAATAACCACGGCCTCTTTCATTACTTAATTTATTTGAAAGTGATAGTATAATTGGGGAATGGTCTGACTTATAGCCTGGGACAATATCAGTTTCATAAGATATATTGAATAAGTCCTGAGAGACTAGGAAAAAATCAAGTCTTGCTTGCTGCTTAGGGTTTCTCTTCCACCATGTAAATTTCTTACATCCACTGTTTTGTTCTCTCCAAATGTCTAACAGATCTAATTCTTCAATCTTTTCCAGAACAGTATTTCTTGCATGGGGATTGTTTATGTTCTTGTAGTGTTCAAGATCCACCGAAGGATTAAGCACCAGATTCCAGTCACCACATATAATAATTGATTCATTTCCAAATTCCATGATATCATCAAATAATTTAGTAAAGAAGTTAGGTTCATCCTTATTTGGGCCATACAGGTTAGTTAGGGTAATATTCAGTCCTTCCATTGTTATGTCAGTTATTATGAAATTGCCATTTTCATCAATAAGGGATTTATTAACCTTGATTTCAATGTTGTTATTAAACAGAATTGCTACACCTCTTGAGTTAGTTTTAAACGGGGCGATAATACAGTTTAACCCCAATTCATTTTTCATAATATCGGGGCGGTGGGGTAGCCTAGTGGTTAAAGCGTTGGCTCGTCACGCCGAAGACCCGGGTACGAATCCCCACATGGGTACAATGTGTGAAGCCTATTTCTGGTGTCCCCCGCCGTGATGTTGCTGGAATATTGCTAAAAGCGGCGTAAAACCAAACTCAATCAGTCAGTCAGTTTTCATAATATCTCTATCTTTTTCTGAAATATGTATATCTTGGAGGCAGATAATTGAGTATTTCTTTCTTTTCCATATTCTCATAATCTCTTGCCTTTTATTTCTTTCTGCTAACCCTCTGCAATTAGCTGATACTATTTTTATCCTATCCAGATCCATTGTAGTTGTAATTATTGCAGTAAGTCATAGGATACTTAGACAAACAGTGACCCTTGGCAAAACACAGGGTACCTGAACAAAACACAGGATACCTGAACAAAACAAAGGGTACCTGAACAAAACACAGGATACCTAAACAAAACACAGGATACCTGAACAAAACACAGGATACCTGAACAAAACACAGGGAACAAAACACAGGATACCTGAACAAAACACAGGATACCTGAACAAAGCACAGGTGATCTGAACAAAACACAGGATACCTAAACAAAACACAGGATACCTGAACAAAACACAGGATACCTGAACAAAACACAGGTGATCTGAACAAAACACAGGATACCTAAACAAAACACAGGATACCTGAACAAAACACAGGATACCTGAACAAAGCACAGGATACCTGAACAAAACACAGGTGATCTGAACAAAACACAGGATACCTAAACAAAACACAGGATACCTGAACAAAACACAGGTGATCTGAACAAAACACAGGATACCTAAACAAAACACAGGATACCTGAACAAAACACAGGTGATCTGAAAACATCCCACGGGATATCTTTAGCAAGTCATAGGATACCTAGACAAACAGTAACCCTTGGCAAAACACAGGGTACCTGAACAAAACACAGGGTACCTGAACAAAACATAGGATACCTAAACAAAACACAGGATACCTGAACAAAACACAGGTGATCTGAAAACATCCCACGGGATATCTTTAGCAAGTCATAGGATACCTAGACAAACAGTAACCCTTGGCAAAACACAGGGTACCTGAACAAAACACAGGGTACCTGAACAAAACACAGGTGATCTGAACAACATCCCACGGGATATCTTTAGCAAGTCATAGGATACCTAGACAAACAGTAACCCTTGGCAAAACACAGGGTACCTGAACACATTACGGGATACCTAAACAAAATAATGGATGCCATAACAAAATACCGTTATCTCTCATTTTAATATAGATGATTAAATTGAATGCCACAGTCGAACTACCCTCTGCAAATAGTGTAGTCCGGATCTAACTACTCCGTGACTGACGGGGTTCGATATCCTCCAGTCACCCAGAGACAGCTCACTCTATCCTCATGGTCGCCTCGTACAACAACCACAGGTCACAACAGGGACCATCTTGGTGCGTCTTTGGGTCTGACACGGCAGAGTTATCGAAACCCCGCCCTTTCGTCCTCCGGGCAGAGGCTCAGTCCACGATACGATGGGGAAAAAAACGTCATCAGAGTCAGACACCAAGTCGCACCGCTTTGAATAACACACAGTATGCATTTAGTATTGCAAGCTCACCTTGGTATAAAACACGAGCATTGACATGACAGCAGGCAAGGAAACAACAAGTACCATATTCTAACGTCTTTTGTATCACAGGTCATACACACTAAGCATTTAGTATTGCACTTTCCAGTGGTACAACGCCATCTTGAAACGGACGAGTTATTCAGTTATTGAAGGGCGTTTCAGTTTGTCAAACTAAGTATTTAGAGTTAACCCAAGATTCAAACTGAACTAAGGGGTGTTTCTCAGACAATGGATCTACCCGCGCCCCGCGACATCGAGTGAGTGAGTTGCGTCTATCGCCGCTTTAAACAGTATTATAGCTATGTCACTGTGCGTTACTAACATTTAACTGTGCAGCTCCATGTCACCCGTGAAGATCCGGGTTAGAATTGGTCTTCAGCAAACCATGCTTGCCGTTAGAGGCAACTAACGTCACTGGGTGGTCAGGCTCGCTGACTTGGTTGGCATATGTGTAGATCCATTGTCTGAGAAACATCCCTTAGTTAAGTTTGAATCTTGGGTTTGTCCATTTCAATTTCTACCTGATGCTGATTCTTGCGCTGTCAGACCCATACAAATGGGTTTCATCATGATGGTATACAACTAGAACTTGCCACTCTAAATACTTAATTTGACATATGTCATGTTATACTAATTGTGTCGATGCTCATACTGTTGATCACAGGATTGTCTGGTCTAAACTCGATTATTTACAGACTGGAATATTGCCGGGTGCGGCGTAAACAACAAAAACAAAGTATAACATTCGCTACCTTCAATCTGTTTGGCCTGGTCTTCAAACAGTTCCACATCCTGCTTGAACTTCTTGATGATGCTGGTCCTGACGTTGTCCACGACGTTCCTGCTGCGGTCCCACTTGTCCACGATGTCTTGGACTCGACTAGATATCCGGGTGGACGCCTCAGCTGCAACCTTCCTCCAGTTGTCAGGGCGTGGACAGAGGTCGGAATTCCACACCACCAGGTCCCGTCGGTTGTTGGTGTTCAACAACTGGAATAACAACATGGACCCTGCCGTAACGGTAACTCCGTTCAGATATTATAGGGTAACTTTAACCCTGTTCATGAAGATGATAACATGATCCTTTATAAGATTGGTAATACTGATTCTGCTTATCAGGGTACCTTGTTTGTTTAGACAGTAGAATGAAACTCTTTACAAGGACGGTAACATTAACACTGTTATAGATGGTAGCATTAGTCTTGTTGATTAGGAAAGTAATACTGGTCCTGCTTATACTGATAGTAAACTGGTCCTGCTTATACAGATAGTAAGACTGGTCCTGCTTATACTGATAGTAAATTGGTCCTGCTTATACAGATAGTAAGACTGGTCCTGCTTATACAGATAGTAAGACTGATCCTCCTTATACTGATAGTAAATTGGTCCTGCTTATACAGATAGTAAGACTGGTCCTGCTTATACAGATAGTAAGACTGATCCTCCTTATACAGATAGTAAACTGGTCCTGCTTATACAGATAGTAAGACTGATCCTCCTTATACAGATAGTAAACTGGTCCTGCTTATACAGATAGTAAGACTGGTCCTGCTTATACAGATAGTAAGACTGATCCTCCTTATACAGATAGTAAACTGGTCCTGCTTATACAGATAGTAAGACTGGTCCTGCTTATACAGATAGTAAACTGGTCCTGCTTATACAGATAGTAAGACTGGTCCTGCTTATACAGATAGTAAGACTGGTCCTCCTTATACAGATAGTAAACTGGTCCTGCTTATACAGATAGTAAGACTGGTCCTGCTTATACAGATAGTAAACTAGTCCTGCTTATACTGATAGTAAACTGGTCCTGCTTATACAGATAGTAAGACTGATCCTCCTTATACAGATAGTAAACTGGTCCTGCTTATTCAGAAAGTAAACTGGTCCTCCTTATACAGATAGTAAACTGGTCCTGCTTATACAGATAGTAAGAGTGATCCTCCTTATACAGATAGTAAACTAGTCCTGCTTATACAGATAGTAAACTGGTCCTGCTTATACATATAGTAAGACTGGTCCTGCTTATACAGATAGTAAACTAGTCCTGCTTATACAGATAGTAAACTGGTCCTGCTTATACATATAGTAAGACTGGTCCTGCTTATACAGATAGTAAACTAGTCCTGCTTATACAGATAGTAAACTAGTCCTGCTTATACAGATAGTAAACTGGTCCTGCTTATACAGATAGTAAGACTGATCCTCCTTATACAGATAGTAAGACTGATCCTGCTTATACAGATAGTAAGACTGATCCTCCTTATACAGATGGTAAGACTGATCCTCCTTATACAGATAGTAAACTGGTCCTGCTTATACAGATAGTAAGACTGATCCTCCTTATACAGATAGTAAGACAGATCCTGCTTATACAGATAGTAAGACTGATCCTCCTTATACAGATAGTAAACTGGTCCTGCTTATACAGATAGTAAACTGGTCCTGCTTATACAGATAGTAAGACTGGTCCTGCTTATACAGATGGTAAGACTGGTCCTGCTTATACAGATAATAAGACTTGTCCTGCTTATACAGATAGTAAACTAGTCCTGCTTATACTGATAGTAAACTGGTCCTGCTTATACAGATAGTAAGACTGATCCTCCTTATACAGATAGTAAACTGGTCCTCCTTATACAGATAGTAAGACTGATCCTCCTTATACAGATAGTAAGACTGGTCCTGCTTATACTGATAGTAAACTGGTCCTGCTTATACAGATAGTAAACTGGTCCTGCTTATACAGATAGTAAGACTGGTCCTGCTTATACAGATAGTAAACTGGTCCTGCTTATACTGATGGTAAACTGATCCTGTTTATACTGATAGTAAACTGGTCCTGCTTATACAGATGGTAAGACTGGTCCTGCTTATACAGATAGTAAGACTGGTCCTGCTTATACAGAAAGTAAACTGGTCCTCCTTATACAGATAGTAAACAGGTCCTGCTTATACAGATAGTAAGACTGATCCTCCTTATACAGATAGTAAACTGGTCCTGCTTATACAGATAGTAAGACTGATCCTCCTTATACAGATAGTAAACTGGTCCTGCTTATACAGATAGTAAACTGGTCCTCCTTATACAGATAGTAAGACTGGTCCTGCTTATACAGATAGTAAGACTGGTCCTGCTTATACAGATAGTAAACTGGTCCTGCTTATACAGATAGTAAGACTGATCCTGCTTATACAGATAATAAGACTGGTCCTGCTTATACAGAAAGTAAACTGGTCCTCCTTATACAGATAGTAAACTGGTCCTGCTTATACAGATAGTAAGACTGATCCTCCTTATACAGATAGTAAACTGGTCCTGCTTATACAGATAGTAAGACTGATCCTCCTTATACAGATAGTAAACTGGTCCTGCTTATACAGATAGTAAGACTGATCCTCCTTATACAGATAGTAAACTGGTCCTGCTTATACAGATAGTAAACTGGTCCTGCTTATACAGATAGTAAGACTGATCCTCCTTATACAGATAGTAAACTGGTCCTGCTTATACAGAGAGTAAACTGGTCCTCCTTATACAGATAGTAAGACTGGTCCTGCTTATACAGATAGTAAGACTGGTCCTGCTTATACAGATAGTAAACTGATCCTCCTTATACAGATAGTAAGACTGGTCCTGCTTATACAGATAGTAAGACTGGTCCTGCTTATACAGAAAGTAAACTGGTCCTCCTTATACAGATAGTAAACTGGTCCTGCTTATACAGATAGTAAGACTGATCCTGCTTATACAGATAGTAAGACTGATCCTGCTTATACAGATAGTAAGACTGATCCCTCCTTATACAGATAGTAAGACTGGTCCTGCTTATACAGATAGTAAGACTGATCCTCCTTATACAGATAGTAAGACTGGTCCTGCTTATACAGATAGTAAACTGGTCCTGCTTATACTGATGGTAAACTGATCCTGTTTATACTGATAGTAAACTGGTCCTGCTTATACAGATGGTAAGACTGGTCCTGCTTATACAGATAGTAAGACTGGTCCTGCTTATACAGAAAGTAAACTGGTCCTCCTTATACAGATAGTAAACAGGTCCTGCTTATACAGATAGTAAGACTGATCCTCCTTATACAGATAGTAAACTGGTCCTGCTTATACAGATAGTAAGACTGATCCTCCTTATACAGATAGTAAACTGGTCCTGCTTATACAGATAGTAAACTGGTCCTCCTTATACAGATAGTAAGACTGGTCCTGCTTATACAGATAGTAAGACTGGTCCTGCTTATACAGATAGTAAACTGGTCCTGCTTATACAGATAGTAAGACTGATCCTGCTTATACAGATAGTAAGACTGGTCCTGCTTATACAGAAAGTAAACTGGTCCTCCTTATACAGATAGTAAACTGGTCCTGCTTATACAGATAGTAAGACTGATCCTCCTTATACAGATAGTAAACTGGTCCTGCTTATACAGATAGTAAACTGGTCCTGCTTATACAGATAGTAAGACTGATCCTCCTTATACAGATAGTAAACTGGTCCTGCTTATACAGATAGTAAGACTGATCCTCCTTATACAGATAGTAAACTGGTCCTGCTTATACAGATAGTAAGACTGATCCTCCTTATACAGATAGTAAACTGGTCCTGCTTATACAGATAGTAAACTGGTCCTGCTTATACAGATAGTAAGACTGATCCTCCTTATACAGATAGTAAACTGGTCCTGCTTATACAGAGAGTAAACTGGTCCTCCTTATACAGATAGTAAGACTGGTCCTGCTTATACAGATAGTAAGACTGGTCCTGCTTATACAGATAGTAAACTGATCCTCCTTATACAGATAGTAAGACTGGTCCTGCTTATACAGATAGTAAGACTGGTCCTGCTTATACAGAAAGTAAACTGGTCCTCCTTATACAGATAGTAAACTGGTCCTGCTTATACAGATAGTAAGACTGATCCTCCTTATACAGATAGTAAACTGGTCCTGCTTATACAGATAGTAAGACTGATCCTCCTTATACAGATAGTAAACTGGTCCTGCTTATACAGATAGTAAGACTGGTCCTGCTTATACTGATAGTAAACTGGTCCTGCTTATACAGATAGTAAACTGGTCCTGCTTATACAGATAGCAAGACTGATCCTCCTTATACAAATAGTAAACTGGTCCTGCTTATACAGAAAGTAAACTGGTCCTCCTTATACAGATAGTAAGACTGGTCCTGCTTATACAGATAGTAAGACTGATCCTCCTTATACAGATAGTAAACTCCTGCTTATACAGATAGTCCTGCTTATACAGATAGTAAGACTGGTCCTGCTTATACAGAAAGTAAGACTGGTCCTGCTTATACAGATAGTAAGACTGGTCCTCCTTATACAGATAGTAAGACTGGTCCTGCTTATACTGCTTATACAGATAGTAAGACTGGTCCTGCTTATACAGATAGTAAACTAGTCCTGCTTATACTGATAGTAAACTGGTCCTGCTTATACAGATAGTAAGACTGATCCTCCTTATACAGATAGTATCCTCCTTATACAGATAGTAAACTGGTCCTGCTTATACAGATAGTAAACTGGTCCTCCTTATACAGATAGTAAACTGGTCCTGCTTATACAGATAGTAAGAGTGATCCTCCTTATACAGATAGTAAACTGGTCCTGCTTATACAGATAGTAAACTGGTCCTGCTCATACATATAGTAAGACTGGTCCTGCTTATACAGATAGTAAACTAGTCCTGCTTATACAGATAGTAAACTGGTCCTGCTTATACATATAGTAAGACTGGTCCTGCTTATACAGATAGTAAACTAGTCCTGCTTATACAGATAGTAAACTAGTCCTGCTTATACTGATAGTAAACTGGTCCTGCTTATACAGATAGTAAGACTGATCCTCCTTATACAGATAGTAAGACTGATCCTGCTTATACAGATAGTAAGACTGATCCTCCTTATACAGATGGTAAGACTGATCCTCCTTATACAGATAGTAAACTGGTCCTGCTTATACAGATAGTAAGACTGATCCTGCTTATACAGATAGTAAGACTGATCCTCCTTATACAGATAGTAAACTGGTCCTGCTTATACAGATAGTAAACTGGTCCTGCTTATACAGATAGTAAGACTGGTCCTGCTTATACAGATGGTAAGACTGGTCCTGCTTATACAGATAGTAAACTAGTCCTGCTTATACAGATAGTAAACTAGTCCTGCTTATACTGATAGTAAACTGGTCCTGCTTATACAGATAGTAAGACTGATCCTCCTTATACAGATAGTAAACTGGTCCTGCTTATACAGATAGTAAGACTGATCCTCCTTATACAGATAGTAAACTGGTCCTGCTTATACAGATAGTAAACTGGTCCTGCTTATACAGATAGTAAGACTGGTCCTGCTTATACAGATAGTAAGACTGGTCCTGCTTATACAGATAGTAAACTGGTCCTGCTTATACTGATGGTAAACTGATCCTGCTTATACTGATAGTAAACTGGTCCTGCTTATACAGATGGTAAGACTGGTCCTGCTTATACAGATAGTAAGACTGGTCCTGCTTATACAGAAAGTAAACTGGTCCTCCTTATACAGATAGTAAACTGGTCCTGCTTATACAGATAGTAAGACTGATCCTCCTTATACAGATAGTAAGACTGATCCTGCTTATACAGATAGTAAGACTGATCCTCCTTATACAGATAGTAAACTGGTCCTGCTTATACAGATAGTAAACTGGTCCTCCTTATACAGATAGTAAGACTGGTCCTGCTTATACAGATAGTAAGACTGGTCCTGCTTATACAGATAGTAAACTGGTCCTGCTTATACAGATAGTAAGACTGATCCTGCTTATACAGATAATAAGACTGGTCCTGCTTATACAGAAAGTAAACTGGTCCTCCTACAGATAGTAAACTGGTCCTGCTTATACAGATAGTAAACTGATCCTCCTTATACAGATAGTAAGACTGGTCCTGCTTATACAGATAGTAAGACTGATCCCTCCTTATACAGATAGTAAACTGGTCCTGCTTATACAGATAGTAAGACTGATCCTCCTTATACAGATAGTAAACTGGTCCTGCTTATACAGATAGTAAACTGGTCCTGCTTATACAGATAGTAAGACTGATCCTCCTTATACAGATAGTAAACTGGTCCTGCTTATACAGAGAGTAAACTGGTCCTCCTTATACAGATAGTAAGACTGGTCCTGCTTATACAGATAGTAAGACTGGTCCTGCTTATACAGATAGTAAACTGATCCTCCTTATACAGATAGTAAGACTGGTCCTGCTTATACAGATAGTAAGACTGGTCCTGCTTATACAGAAAGTAAACTGGTCCTCCTTATACAGATAGTAAACTGGTCCTGCTTATACAGATAGTAAGACTGATCCTCCTTATACAGATAGTAAACTGGTCCTGCTTATACAGATAGTAAGACTGATCCTCCTTATACAGATAGTAAACTGGTCCTGCTTATACAGATAGTAAGACTGGTCCTGCTTATACTGATAGTAAACTGGTCCTGCTTATACAGATAGTAAACTGGTCCTGCTTATACAGATAGTAAGACTGATCCTCCTTATACAAATAGTAAACTGGTCCTGCTTATACAGAAAGTAAACTGGTCCTCCTTATACAGATAGTAAGACTGGTCCTGCTTATACAGATAGTAAGACTGGTCCTGCTTATACAGATAGTAAACTGGTCCTGCTTATACAGATAGTAAGACTGATCCTCCTTATACAGATAGTAAACTGGTCCTGCTTATACAGAAAGTAAACTGGTCCTCCTTATACAGATAGTAAGACTGGTCCTGCTTATATAGATAGTAAGACTGGTCCTGCTTATACAGATAGTAAGACTGGTCCTGCTTATACAGATAGTAAGACTGGTCCTGCTTATAAAGATAGTAAGACTGGTCCTGCTTATACAGATAGTAAACTGGTCCTGCTTATACAGATAGTAAACTGGTCCTGCTTATACAGATAGTAAGACTGGTCCTGCTTATACAGATAGTAAGACTGGTCCTGCTTATACAGATAGTAAGACTGGTCCTGCTTATACTGATGGTAAACTAGTCCTGCTTATACAGATAGTAAACTGGTCCTGCTTATACTGATAGTAAACTGGTCCTGCTTATACAGATGGTAAGACTGGTCCTGCTTATACAGATAGTAAGACTGGTCCTGCTTATACAGATAGTAAGACTGGTCCTGCTTATACAGATAGTAAGACTGGTCCTGCTTATACAGATAGTAAGACTGGTCCTGCTTATACAGATAGTAAACTAGTCCTGCTTATACAGATAGTAAGACTGGTCCTGCTTATACAGATAGTAAACTAGTCCTGCTTATACAGATGGTAAGACTGGTCCTGCTTATACAGATAGTAAACTAGTTCTGCTTATACAGATAGTAAGACTGGTCCTCCTTATACTGATGGTAAACTGATCCTGCTTATACTGATAGTAAACTGGTCCTGCTTATACTGATAGTAAACTGGTCCTGCTTATACAGATAGTAAGACTGATCCTGCTTATACAGATAGTAAACTGGTCCTGCTTATACAGATAGTAAACTGGTCCTGCTTATACAGATAGTAAGACTAGTCCTGCTTATACTGATAGTAAACGGGTCCTGCTTATACAGATAGTAAGACTGATCCTGCTTATACAGATAGTAAGACTGATCCTGCTTATACAGATAGTAAGACTGGTCCTGCTTATACAGATAGTAAGACTAGTCCTGCTTATACTGATAGTAAACGGGTCCTGCTTATACAGATAGTAAGACTGGTCCTGCTTATACAGATAGTAAGACTGGTCCTGCTTATACAGATAGTAAACTGGTCCTGCTTATACAGATAGTAAACTAGTCCTGCTTATACAGATAGTAAGACTGATCCTCCTTATACAGATAGTAAACGGGTCCTGCTTATACAGATAGTAAACTGGTCCTGCTTATACAGATAGTAAACTAGTCCTGCTTATACAGATAGTAAGACTGATCCTCCTTATACAGATAGTAAACTAGTCCTGCTTATACAGATAGTAAACTGGTCCTGCTTATACAGATAGTAAACTGGTCCTGCTTATACAGATAGTAAGACTAGTCCTGCTTATACTGATAGTAAACGGGTCCTGCTTATACAGATAGTAAGACTGATCCTGCTTATACAGATAGTAAGACTGGTCCTGCTTATACAGATAGTAAGACTGGTCCTGCTTATACAGATAGTAAACTAGTCCTGCTTATACAGATAGTAAGACTGGTCCTGCTTATACATATAGTAAGATTGATCCTGCTTATACAGATAGTAAGACTGGTCCTGCTTATACAGATAGTAAGATTGATCCTGCTTATACAGATAGTAAGACTGATCCTCCTTATACAGATAGTAAGACTGGTCCTCCTTATACAGATAGTAAGATTGATCCTGCTTATACAGATAGTAAGACTGATCCTGCTTATACAGATAGTAAGATTGATCCTGCTTATACAGATAGTAAGACTGATCCTGCTTATACAGATAGTGAGACTCATCCTGCTTATACAGATAGTAAGACTGATCCTGCTTATACAGATAGTAAGACTGATCCTGCTTATACAGATAGTAAGATTGATCCTGCTTATACAGATAGTAAGACTGGTCCTCCTTATACAGATAGTAAGATTGATCCTGCTTATACAGATAGTAAGACTGATCCTGCTTATACAGATAGTGAGACTCATCCTGCTTATACAGATAGTAAGACTGATCCTGCTTATACAGATGGTAAGACTGATCCTGCTTATACAGATAGTAAGACTGATCCTGCTTATACAGATAGTAAACTGGTCCTGCTTATACAGAAAGTAAACTGGTCCTCCTTATACAGATAGTAAGACTGATCCTGCTTATACAGATAGTGAGACTCATCCTGCTTATACAGATGGTAAGATTGACCCTGCTTATACAGATAGTAAGATTGATCCTGCTTATACAGATAGTAAGACTGACCCTGCTTATACAGATAGTAAGATTGATCCTACTTATACAGATAGTAAACTGGTCCTCCCTGTAAGTTTTGACACTGCTGCAGACAGGCATGGTGTAGTCATGCTAGCCGTGTGACACAACTGGCAAGAGGAATATTCTGTCACCTTGATGACGCTCTCTGTGATGTCTTCCACGGCGTTCCTGACATCCCTCCTCATGTCTTTGATCCTGCTCTCGGCCCGTGTCTCCAGCTGCTCTATCTGGGCACACACAGACCTGTACATGGTCTCCTTCTCCTCCACGCTACGTGCGTCCAGCTGCTTCGACACCTTTAGTGAGTACAGCGTCCGCTTCAGTATGGTGGACAGCCATCTGCACCAACAGAGGGAGAGAGTTAACCCTGGTATAGGGGTACATGCTGGGATACAGCAGTCTGTGTTAACCCTGGTAGAGGGGTACATGCTGGGATACAGCAGACTATGTTAACCCTGGTAGAGGGGTACATGCTGGGATACAGCAGTCTGTGTTAACCCTGGTATAGGGGTACGTGTTTAGGTACAGGAGACTGTGTTAACCCTGGTAGAGGGGTACATGCTGGGATACAGAAGACTGTGTTAACCCTGTTAGAGGGGTACATGTTTAGGTACAGGAGACTGTGTTAACCCTGATATAGGGTACCTGTTTAGGTACAGGAGACTGTGTTAACCCTGATATAAGGGTACATGTTTAGGTACAGGAGACTGTGTTAACCCTGGTATTGGGGTACATGTTTAGGTACAGGAGACTGTGTTAACCCTCATATAGGGGTACATGTTTAGGTACAGTGGGCAGTGTTTACTCTGGTATAGGGGTACGTGTTTAGGTACAGGAGACTGTGTTAACCCTGGTAGAGGGGTACATGCTGGGATACAGAAGACTGTGTTAACCCTGTTAGAGGGGTACATGTTTAGGTACAGGAGACTGTGTTAACCCTGATATAGGGTACCTGTTTAGGTACAGGAGACTGTGTTAACCCTGATATAAGGGTACATGTTTAGGTACAGGAGACTGTGTTAACCCTGGTATTGGGGTACATGTTTAGGTACAGGAGACTGTGTTAACCCTGATATAGGGGTACATGTTTAGGTACAGTGGGCAGTGTTTACTCTGGTATAGGGGTACATGTTTAGGTACAGGAGACTGTGTTAACCCTGGTATTGGGGTACGTGTTAAGGTACAGGAGACTGTGTTAACCCTGGTATTGGGGTACGTGTTAAGGTACAGGAGACTGTGTTAACCCTGGTATTGGGTACATGTTTAGGTACAGGAAACTGTGTTAACCCTGGTATTGGGGTACATGTTTAGGTACAGGAGACTGTGTTAACCCTGGTATTGGGGTACATGTTTAGGTACAGGAGACTGTGTTAACCCTGGTATTGGGGTACATGTTTAGATACAGGAGACTGTGTTAACCCTGGTATTGGGGTACGTGTTAAGGTACAGGAGACTGTGTTAACCCTGGTATTGGGGTACATGTTTAGGTACAGGAGACTGTGTTAACCATGATATAGGGGTACATGTTTAGGTACAGGAGACTGTGTTAACCCTGGTATTGGGGTACGTGTTTAGGTACAGGAGACTGTGTTAACCCTGATATAAGGGTACATGTTTAGGTACAGGAGACTGTGTAAACCCTGGTATTGGGGTACATGTTTAGGTACAGGAGACTGTGTTAACCCTGGTATTGGGGTACATGTTTAGGTACAGGAGACTGTGTTAACCCTGATATAGGGGTACATGTTTAGGTACAGGAGACTGTGTTAACCCTGATATAGGGGTACATGTTTAGGTACAGTGGGCAGTGTTTACTCTGATACATGAGTATGTCTGAAGGTGTACACCAGGAGATAGGGGTGCATCTGGGGATACAGGAGGCTGCGTTAACTCAACCTAATGCTGGGTACATCTCGGTGTACAGGCGTGTGTTGACCCGGAGATAGGGGTGCATCTGGGGATGCAAGCTTGTGTTGACTTGGCATAGAGGTACATATGGGGGTACGGTGCACTAGTTGGTTGGTTTGTTGATCCAGTGATCAACAGCATGAGCATCGATTTAGGCAATTAGGATACGATGGCATGTGTCAACCAAGTCAGCGAGCCTGACCACCCGATCCCGTTAGTCGCCTCTTATGACACAAGCATGTGTTGTTGAAGACCAATTCTAACCCAAATCTTTACGGGTCGTGCAGTGTACTAACCCAACCTGATACTAGGTCTGGGGATACATTAGATTGTGGACCCTGATACAGAATACATGTGGAGATACACGATTGTGTCGACCCTGATATAGAGGTACATGCAGAGGCACCTGTTAACCCATCTTGATACATAGGGACACATTGGTAAACTAGGTACTAAAGTATTGTCGGAAATAGAAAACAACTGTTTTATCGCATTGATATTTACAATTTATGTAGTTAAAATGTGTAGGTGTGAAATATCTGTTGAACTAAAAAGGACTTTACTGAGGAGAGATTAGTGCAGAAATGAGAAATGCGTCCAAAGCGACTTATTTGGAACAGGCCATGGCTTTATGCAAATTAGTGTGCGATGATATTATATTACAAAGGACAATTGTTTAATGTCCATTTTGAAATTAAACTTAGCTTCATTATAAACGATAGCTGACATAAACAATAATAACTTTAATACTGAAACTATGAAGGATGTAGCTACCATGGAGTCTCACTATCACTATAAAAAGAAACAGGTAGGAGGGGTCGTCTCAAAAGCAAAACCAAGACGGGACGGAAGTTGGGGTCGGGCTTGGGGATAGAGATATTAGCTAAGATTAGATAATCATTAGAGACATATTCAGTACACATGATAAGCATAAAAGATATTTGAGATGACCCCTTGTATCTGTCGGCAGCACGTGCATTTCATGCCAAGTGAGTTGACGGTCCGTTGTCATACCTGGCAGAGCGACCTAATTGCCATCTATAGTCTGATCTATTGTTTTCAGCAGCTGTTCGTATAAGTTCGCAAGTTTTTCCCGCTATTTACGAGTAAACATGCTTTTCTGGATATCTTATTACGCATCCCACTGAACGCCCAGTAAGGCCGATGTGGGTTATTTCGACATATGCTATTTGCAATTGTGTAAATTTTAGGGATACAGAGTAACAGCCTAAAAACAGTTTTTTTACGGATTTCCGACAGTACTTTAGTAGGTAGTGACAACACTGTTACTGGTTATGTGTTAACGCGAGTCACCTGTAGAATGCCGAGAGCTTGGAGTGGAATGTTGTAGGTAGAACCTGCCGAATCCCTTCCACTAACTCAACGTGACCTTTCAGCATGTTCCGGTAGTCCAGTTTGTCTAAAGCCTGAAATAAGACGCAGGATAATAGCCTGGTGTCTATCTGATGTAGAATTATGGACACGTACAATGATCCGTTGACCGTCAAACTGGACGCGAAGCCATAAATCAGCTCTGAAGCCGAAAACTACCCTATGCTCTCAGACTAGTCTCTGTACCCAACATGCTGACCCGTGCACCACCACACTAATCCCCGAACCCACACTCTAATCTATGTATCTACACACTAATCACTCTACCCCGCACACTAGCCCAAGCACCCACACACTAACCCATGCACCCACACACTAACCCATGCACATACACACTAATCCATGCACATACACACACTAATACATGCACACCCACACACGCGCACATACACACACACACATATCACTGTACCTAAAACACTAATCCATGCACCCACACACTAATCCATGTACATACGCACTAATCATTGTATCACGGACACTAATCCACCCAAACACATACTAATCACTGTACATAACACACTAATCCATGCACCCACACACTTATCCATGAACATACACACTAATCACTGTATCCCGCACACTAATCACTGTACTCAACACACTAATCCATGCACCCACACACTAATCACTGTATCCCGCAAACTAATCCATGTACGTAAACACTAATCCATGTACACACACACTAATCCATGTACCCACACACTAATCCATGTACACACACACACACACTAATCACTGTACACACACACTAATCACTGTACCGAACTCACTAATCCATACACCCAAGCACATATCACTGTACCCTCACACTAATCACTGGATAACGCACACTAATCTATGCACACACACACACACACACACACACACACACACACACACACACACACACACACACACACACACACACACACACACACATCACTGTATCCCGCACACTTATCCATGTACACACACAATTATCCATTCACACTAATGACTATCCCGCACACTAATCCATGTGATTCATGATTCATGCACACACCCTAATCACCCTATCCCGCACACTAATCCTTGTACACATACACTAATCACTGTATCCCGCACACTAATCCAATGCACACACACACACACACACACACACACACACACACTAATGCATGCACGTTCACACTAATTACCGTATCCCGCACACTAATCCATGTACGTACACACTAATCACTGTATCCCGCACACTAATCACTGTAATTAAAACACTAATCCATACACCCCCACTGTAATCACTGCACCCAACACACTAATCCATGCACATTCACACTAATCACTGTATCACACACACTAATCCATGCATATACACACTAATCACTGTATCCCGCACATTAATCCATGCATATACACACTAATCACTGTATCCGCACATTAATCCATGCATATACACACTAATCACTGTATCCCGCACATTAATCCATGCATATACACACTAATCACTGTATCCGCACATTAATCCATGCATATACACACTTATCACTGTATCCCGCACACTAATCCATGTATATACACATTAATTACTGTACCCAACACACTAATCACTGTATCCCGCACACTAATCCATGTACGTATACATTAATTACTGTACCCAACACATTAATCCATGCACCCACAGACTAATTCATGTCCATACACACTAATGACTGTATCGCGCAAACTAATCCATGCACATACACACTAATCCATATTCTTGCTCTAATTCTTGCACCTACACAAAACCCCTTGCACCCACAGACTAGATGATCTGGTACCTGTGTAGCGGAGATCTTGTAGATCTGACTGTCGTTGATGGTGGGGATGGACTTGCCCAGTTTCTCCTTCACGTAGTGCTGGACTTGAGCCTCCTCTCGTTGATCCACTTGGTCCCACTTGTTGCACACGAACACGGCGGTCGCAGGGTCGAAGTCGCTGTGCTGCACCCCTTGGAGTAGAAGACTTCCCAGCTGCAACAGAGGAAGCACATCACAGTTAAACACGTTGCTCTCAGAAATGGTCATTCATGTAGAGGCTTGCCAAGTGAGGGAATTTGGTTTCACGCCGCTTTTAGCAGTATTCCAGCACATATCACGGCGGGGGACGCCAGAAATGGGCTTCACACATTTGACTCATCTGGGGATTAGAACCCGGATCTTCGGCGTGACGAGCGAACGCTTAAACTGCAAGGCTACCCCACCGCGTAGAGACTTGAAAAGTATACGGAATTGAGACTGGTACACCTGTGCGATGGGTGATCGTTAAGATCAACAGAACACCTTCCTGTCCTTCACATGTTGATCTGTTAATAATATGTATTCACAGATTTCACGTTTATTTAAGTATTAAAATGTTTTTGTTGGAGGGGGTTGCGTGGAGTTGGCGGTGAGATTGTGTAAAGAGTGTAACCAATTTTGCTGGCATCATATTTATGCAACATTAGTTCAAACAACCAGTTCAGAGCCAGACAAGCCAGTGATTGATATAATGAGTAACGACTATCGTGGTTAGGGTACGTTCACACGCCATCAACCACGTTATCAGGTTGGACCACCGATCCATTACACTCGTTAAGCACTACGACTGGGTACAACGTGTGAAGATCATTTCTGGTGTCCCCCGCCGTCATATTGCTGGAACATTGCTAAATGCGACGTAAAACCATACTCACTCACTCGTTGCTACGACGGAACCTGGAACCCCTGGGACTGGTCTTATTACAGTCTACTGAAATTTTATGTAATTAAGTGGTTGTGGTTTTGAAATTCTAAACATTATGAAAATTGGAAAAAAACAGAACTACATTTTTAGTTGTAACTGCTAGATCTCTCTGATGCCAGCCATTTTGGTCAAGTAGTTTACTCTATGGTGTTGAAACTGTTGAAGACACCTACCCTGTCCCTGTGTATACCGCCGGCGTCCCCGGTGTTGATGACGTAGATGAAGCCGAGGGCCTTGTCCATGTACTGGCCCATGTCCAAGCTGTGAGAGCCGCCGATACCTGGCGTGTCCACGAACACAACCCCTTCCTGTACAGTAGCCAGATGAGGGGTCAACGCTGCTCTGAACAGCATATTTGTTACATCAAGTACGTCAGTTTGATGTCGGATGTGAAGCTACCAGATTTACCACCATGAGTTTTAATCATTTTGTAAGTCAATGCCGGCAATATGTCACCTGTATCTACAAAGCAGGGGTGGAAATAACTTTAAAATTGCTAGTGTACTCCGAAACAATGGCACATGTAAAATCACTTGCCCTGATCATTTTCTCCACTATACCGTCCGTTTTCTTGCTGATTTTTAAAAAATAAACAACATAATTAACATTGGAAATTCAACTGGACACCGGTACAGTGTGATATACAAATTTGCTTGCCCGGCAGAAAACACTGGACTCGGACGTCGGGCAATGGGTTTTTTCCACCCCTGCAAAGCACTGCGAATTGCAATGCCCGTAAGAACTGGACCATCGTGCTTCCTTCTGTCCAGTATGGTGATAGAAATAGGTTAAAAGGAATGCTCGGAAGTGTTAAACCATGAAATTAACAACAAATCCCCATTTACCTCCCTTTACATTTCTCATTGATATCTTTTTAAACATTTGAGTGGTTCAGCCTTATGTATCAAATTAATCACTGTAGCTATTGACCTACGCAGTTATCATCTATCGGCATATGTTTCGGTACTAGATCCGTATTTATTACCCATTTCATTATCAGCCAAAGAAAGCTCTATCGAACGATGACGTCACATCAAAGGATGAATATAGTGAAAAACACAGCTTACCTCCATTAAGTGGAAAGGCCAGTGGATCTCCACCTTTGTATATGGGCTATCGTCCGTGTTTGGGTCAGTCTCAGTTACGTGCTTCGCCAAAGAGTCTGTGAAACCGGGCACCTGCGAGTCATCCGGGCACTCGAGAGTGGTCTTCTGGGTTCCGTCTCGGTGATGTAGGACAATAGCTCGCATCGTTGATTTCCGCAGCTCACACACGGTGGCCGTGCATTGCAGGGCGTTTGTCGGCAGGATCCGCTGACCCACAAGCAGGTTGATGAGTGTGCTCTTGCCAGCACCTGTATCACCTGGATTATACAAGTGGGTGAATCTAGTTTAACGCCGCACTGAAGAGAAGTTACTTTCTTTGTCAGACAATCCAGTGATCAACATCATTAGCATAGATCTACCGAATTGGGATACGATGACATACATCAACCAAGTCAGCGGGTGATCCCGTTCCTTATTGACCACCCGATCCCGTTCCTTATTGACCACCCGATCCCGTTCCTTATTGACCACCCGATCCCGTTCCTTATTGACCACCCGATCCCGTTCATTATAGACCACCCGATCCCCACCCGATCCCGTTCCTTATTGACCACCCGATCCCGTTCATTATTGACCACCCGATCCCCACCCGATCCCGTTCATTATTGACCACCCGATCCCGTTAGTCACCTTTTAGGACAAGCATGGGTTGCTGAGACCAATTCTAACCCGGAACTTCACGGATTCGAGGTCGTTTAGGATTGTATCTGATTTTAAGAAAATCTAAAACACCAGGTCCGACTGTCTGGTATCCGAATATCATTTAAATTATTGATACGTTATCTCATCATGAAACCAGTGGGCATATCTTTTCGGTTTGTTTGTTTGTTTGTTTGTTTTCTACCTCACTCAGCAGTATTCCACCTATATGACGACGGTGCTTACATGATTGTGTCAAGATCAGACAATCCAGTGACAGCCAGGTTTAGACATCATGAGCACCTCCATGCGCATGATGCGATGATACAACAGGCATCAACCAAGCCAGCGGGCATGACCACCCGACCTCCCTATGCTTTTATAACAAGCATGGGTTTCTAAAGATCAATTTTATCCGGATCTTCACAGATGGTGGGGCGTGGTCGGTGATATTGGGGTTACTCACCAGCGACAACGATGGCGCAGTCACTTTTGTTCAGCTGCTGACTTTTGTTCTTGAGCGTGACCAGGAAGTCCGGAAATACTCTCTCCAGGTCGTTGCCGAACCGACTGGGCAGCTCCTTGAAGAAGGCACCTGACTTCTCGAAGAGGTTGATCAGTTCCACCCTGTTCTCTTTGTCTTCTTTCATGGCGTCGGCGATAGCATTCTGATCCTGTAGACAGAGAAAGTGAGTGAATATGTGAGCTTAGTTTTACGCCGCTTTTAGCAATATTCCAGCAATGTCACGGCGGGGGACACCAGAAAGGGACTTCACACATTGTGCCCATGTGGGGAATCGAAACCGAGTCTTCGGCGTGACGAGCAAACGCTTTAACCACTAGGCTACCCCAAATTCCCCTTGACAGAACGACTGGAGTCCGTGAGTGAGGCTAGTTTGACTCTGACGACGTAGTCGAAGCCGACAGCGTTGACCGTGCACTGACCAATGTCCAGGCTGTGAGAGCTTCCAATGCAAAGACAATGGACACAACCTATTCTTTACAGTTACCTGACTATAGTGGGTATTACGCCGCTTTGAGCAGTATTTTAAGTTATACCACAGCTTGAATAACATTATGTGGCAAATACAAAATAATACATTTGTTTCTGAAACCTATCGCCCTTTAATTGCCACGTTGTATGTACAGCATTCTGAGTGAGTGAGTGAGTGAGAATGGTTTTACGCCGCTTTGAACAACACTTAGTTTTTATCACTATACATGCGTGGAACGTACGAAGTGGTTCAGGACCTAGACTTAAACCACTTGGGTGAAACTCATAAGCATGAGTATTTTGCTATTAAAGATACATACGAGGTTCGAACCAACAATCATACAGCTTGTTCAGCTTGACCTGATCAAGTGAATACTAATGCATTGCGTGACCGTGTCACAACTGGTTGGGTCTATTATGGTGAAGGGGTGCACCGTCAGCAATGTCTTTACTTTCTGTAAAAAAAGAAGCTACAGACGGTTTAATGTTTCCGGTTCATGAAATAGAAAAAGTGATAATTGAACTGGGTGTAGAGGGTGAAAGTAACTGACGTCTGTAATTTGTAAAGTTAGTAAACCAAGCTAGATAGCATTGCATATGACTGTATAAACAATTCAATTAAAACATGAAATGATTGTTTTTTTTCAGAAGTGTTGTTTTCCGGGACAAGTTCTGTAACGAATCCATGTATGCATGCTTCGCACGAACGCAGTATTAATTACATTTTCTGTTCCCCTATTTAATGAAGTTAACTCGACCTGCCGTTTTTGCCATTTGACCTCCCGGGTCATGCATATGTAGAGTAGCTCAGATCAAGCTGAACAAGCTGTAGGTTTCTGGCACATATAAGGAGCGCAACTCTATATACAAGATGTTGTTGCTTTAGACAACTGTGTTATTCGGTTTAAGTGTGACTGAACTGTGATGACGTATCATACGAATATGCGTCTATCATGAAGTATAGGCGTATACCGTGTAACAGCTGACATAACACCGAGACTCTACCATCAATCATATAACATAGCCAAGCAGGTATCATTCCGGATTGGTACTCAACATTGCCAGATCTCGTACACCGGCCATGTCTAGATCTGTGGATATCCATGTCAAAGGGTCGTCACCATATGGCCGAAACATAGTCGATGTAGCGTTAACGTGAACTAAATCACTCGGTCTGCGACATTTGTTAAACTATTTCTGTTCACAGTATCTTGGAAGCTTGATGATACGTGTCATAGTGAGTGAGTGAGTGAGTTTTGGTTTTACGACGCTTTTAGCAATATTCCAGCAATATCACACCTAAAATGGACCTCACACATTGTGCCCATGTGGGGGTCGAACCCGGATCTTCGGTGTGACGAGCGGACGCTTTAACCACTAGGCTACCCCACCTCCCTACAGACGCATAATATAACATAATATATTATTATATAGGTAGTATTTTTCCTGTACCACGATTGGTCAAAAGACCGTCACATGATTGACTACAAAACACGATATTGAATTGAGTTTTCTGATAAATTACGATATTGACTTGGGTTACTAAAAATAGACAAGGAACCCCGTACGAAGGGGCTTCCCCCGCTTTTCAGCCAATCAGATCACTCGGATAGATGGCACAGTGTGCGCATTAAAAGTTTATGTTAAAACCCGTTTCTCTTTCATTATATAATAAAACAATTATAGACTCTTGTAGAGGTCGATATCGGTTTTTATTGACCTGAGAAAAACAATATCGCAAGCTCGGTCGATATTGTTTTACTCAGGTCAATAAAAACCGATATCGACCTCTACAAGAGTCTATAATTGTATAATGTCAGCTACACCATGGCATGTTATCTCCACGTGGGAGGTCAATGGTACCGTTATCAACCAACGAACGTAATCAAGAAGAATTTGTAACTATTGCCTGTAACTATTGCATATAGCAATATTCCAGCAATATCACGGCGGGGAACACCAGAAATGGGTTTCACACATTGTACCCATGTAGGGAATCGAACCCGGGTCTTCGGCGTGACGAGCCAACGCTTTAACCACTAGGCGACCCCACCGCCCCGTTTAAACATGAGGTGGAAATTGAAGTATTACTCTTAAGAATGTATAGTGTTGAAAATATATATAACCTTTTAGCTTGAAGTGGGCATTGAAGTTATACCTTATTTCACAATGTATCAATGTATGGAGACATATGTATAACATGAGTGGAAATAAATAATAATAATAATAATAATAATAATAATCAGGAAGAATCGTAGAACCGAACCTACGATCATAAGATTCTGGTAAACCTAAAGGTCGCAACTCTGCCCTTGAGATGACTGAGAGACCTTGAACTGTCATTCTACTGAAGCGTGAAACAGATCCCATTTTCTCAACCCTTTCCCATTCTGGGTACGCGCCTCTCAGGAATGAATGAATGACTGGTTTTGAATGGTTTATTCTCATGAAGATCACACAGGGACACGCGCCACGTGTATTGAGCACATCATACATACAGTTCCTGAAAAAACCCAAAGGCTTCTTTGAAAGGCTCATACGCACTAGAATAACATTATGACGGCCGACTCTCTTCACAATGACGGCCGACCAATCGAAACGTATATATGAAACGTGACCTGTAGACGGAAGTGTTTGTTACTGGGAATAGAAACGACTTTGTCACGATTTAGTATTGAACGAATCTGTTCAGTTTAAACAAATCAGATATCAGATGAATTGTCTATTTGTACAAATACACGTGTCAACGCGTGGTTTATGCGTCGAGTGGGAAATTAGCTCATGTTTAAGATGAGGTGTACGTACAATACGTTGATAAGACGAAGGAATACGTTGAGTTCAAACTTCTTTAGTTACATGACAAGCAAATACACAAGACATAAAATGTGGTGAGCGGAGTCCCAGCTCAACCCCAGGAAGTTTCCCACGAGCGGTATTATCCTACTGGTGGTCGTCCTTACACAAGCAGGCGGTATACCAGACTCGTACTCCTTCACCGTCTAGATGTGAGCATGCTAAGTACATACAGTTTTTGACAACAATGGACAGGCGATGACTCATCAATGGACAGGCAGAAAAACAATAGTACTTCCTTGACCAGTTGATGTGATGGCAGACACGGCCAAGGGGGGATTACCAATGAAGGTTATAAATGTCTTATACAATAATTAATGGTCTGACAAGTCAATTTACAATGCGGTAGTGATAAGGATGTACAGTAGTGATTAAGAATACAGGTTAGCGTCATATAACTTATTACAATAAAGTCTCACATATCTGGACTACATAGGTTATGGACTTTTAAAATATTTGGACGATGACTGTCCTGAATTAGTCCCTATAACACATGTATTTAAAGGTCACATAAACCCTAGGGGGTACAAATACATAAATCACTAACTGGCATCGTTATAAATGAAACCCCGTCATTAAAACTACTCATTTCGACCTTTAATTGACTTAAATCGACCTTTTTGACAACAGTGCACAATTCTCACCCGCGAACGAAATTTCAACCAATCAGAGCGGCGCGTCTCTGTGACGTCATATGAGGAATAGCTTTGAGGGCCGATGCAGAATTCATCTACATTTTAGGGGGGTAAATTATCTTGTTTACAGGCTTGTATAAACCTGAAATCGTGACAATTGTTGTGGAAAATGAAAGCTATATGTTCTCACAATCTACTGTCATTTAATTTTGTCTCCTGCTTTGCCTAGTTTCCGAGTTACAACTTGTTTTCATAGACGATTCTGTCAAAATCGATTGGTGTCGTTAGGCCCTATTTGTATAATGACTGATCTAAATTGATCCCATTTCTGTGTTTTTTTACCTCGATATTTAATCATGTCATGTAAAAATCTGTTTGTATTCTCAAAACAGTGTCGGCCCATAAGTTTTCACATGCAATACAGCAATTAATACTCCCTTGTTGTAACCCGTGTTAGGTGGTATAAACCTACACATGTTATTTGTCATCATTCACTTGATGGTCAGTTAATGAATTTATAACAGGTATAATTAGTGGTAACACACTTAGATTACCCGACAAAGGTTCCCATTTGGCATTTCTTGTGTCTGGAGTAAATATTCAACATTATAAACATCGATCAAAGGATTAACCGATAACACGCTGATTGATTAATTACTTTTATCTTACACAGCGGAATTGTCAAAAGGTAGTGTTTATGTATGTAGATTTACTAATCTATACTGAATACACTCTGTCGTGTCGGTGTCTGCGTAAAAGCAACGTGCTTCGTTCAAAGGATTAACCGGCAATACATTGATTGATTGCCCATTATTGGCTAACTAATTTACTGTTTTTAAAGAAAGGCGGACATTATGCAATTAGTTGCCAGGTGTGCTATCTTGGGTGACCAATGAGACTATACACCAATACCTGAAAAGATTGATCACTTTTTCGTATATTAAACTGTTAAACGACACATCATTTGGAACAGTTTTGTGGATATTGATGGATACATTCCTCGAACAAGGTAATGGCCTGATATTGTTCCTATAACTTTAATCTGTTTTAATTTTAATATTTGCATTTTGTTTTTATTCATTTGTCGTAGCATTCAACAGAATCATTGTTTTCGCCGTGAAGTGTAATGAGACAGACAACATACACTAGGGTGTGTGTGCGGATTATGATTCACATTGGCAAACTATAAAAT